AGAAGTTAGTTAAAAGAATAAAAGGTAAATCAGAGAATAGATATAAGATAGGTTATATATTAAATATTATAGGCTAAAATATGCCGCTATATGGATTATTAAAAATTTATTATTAGGCTATAGGTAGGCCTATGTATAATAATATACTACTAGATCTATACTAGATCTATATAGTATATACTAAATACTAGTACTAGGCTTAAGGTAAGGCCTAAATAATATTCCTAATAATAATAAGTAGGCCCCTATCCTATATAAGTTACTTAAAGTTATTAATAAGTTATTTAAAATTAATTTAGCCTAGGCCTATTTATTAAATATAGGCCAATATAGGCCTACTAAATATTAATATAAATATTTTAGTCCCTTTATGATACAGAAATTGTGCAGGACAAATAACAATCAATAATCAATAGGCTTACAATCTATTGTAAATTTATTACAGATACAAAACACTGACAAAGAATTCAGGATTCGCTTAGATCTCCGCCATTACAGTCCTGAAGAAGTAAAGATTACCTCAGACAACAAAAAGATCACAATCAAAGCAAAGCATGAGGAGAAGCAGGACAAACATGGTTTTGTGTCTCGGGAAATGATCAGGACATATGCACTACCAGATGTAAGTGATCTATACCTATACTATAACTTGTGAAAAATAAATTTATATAACACTGGTATTTGGTTAAATAACTTTTTAAACAGTTTTATAAATAGATCTACCTTATAATAAAGTTCCTCTTTAGATCCTAGCGATCCATTGGGCAGATCTTTGATCTTAATTATATTTGTCAGATTTATGTCCAAATACATGGACGAACTGGACTGTTGTCTCCAGAAATGCTGGCACCCCATGGTCCTTAAGTGTGGTGTGGTGGGGATGGGGTTCAGATGGCACCTTTTTGTGCAAGCAAATCCTGTATAATGTGCTCTGCGTTCTTTGGCGCCATGTCACAGGGGCAATTTTCACCTGGACCAACTTTTAGGGCAGAGGAAGTAGAGTTCATTTATCTTGACCTCAGCACATGAAGTGTTGGTGTGGTCAGCACTGTGTACAGTACAGTCATCTTTACTCTCCCCATTGTAAGGCAGGTACTCATCAGAGCTGGTAGGGCTCAGGGTTGTCCAACAGCAGCAAGTCCTAACCAAGATACCTTCTGGCATGTAGCTAAACACTCTACCATTTGATAACGCTGTCCCCACCCCTCATTTTATATTTAGTACTTAACTATTTCTACCGCTAAGTTTTAACAAGTTTATATCAAATACTTCATATATTTTATGTACAGGATGTAGATGCAAAGTCAGTAACGTCAACAATGAATTCACATGGTACACTTAGCATTAAAGCTTCCAAGAAAGCCATTGAACCTCCCAAAGAAACTGCAGTTCCTGTGGAGTTTAAAGGATAATGAAGGAATGACATGAGCTTTAACCTTGTTGCACATATATTGTTTCTTAATATTTTGGTTATTAATGTTAAAATGGCATACATTTTTTATTTAACTTTGTATTTTTTGCTAAATAAATTGATGTAAAATATTTGAAACATATTTTTTATTGTATGTCTTGTGACTGTCTTGTTTTAAAGAGCAGTTGATTCAGTAAAACTAATTCACCAGTTAATTCCTACCTTGACATAATTTTGTCTTCTCACTGATACAAAAACAAGTGCCGTAAATGTATTTAACATTCTAGCTTATCTAAGAATAAATGGTTTATTCATTTATGTAGTACACCTGATGCAGAATGTATGTGGTCAAATTCAGCTGTTTTAAATATTCACTGTATATTTCCTAGCTTAATATCAAGTTGAAAATAATAAACTTATAGGGATACCCCCTAAACAAAATTCTATCACACCAGTGGATTGGAATGCTCATAGGCTTGGAGTTCTATTAACTTTTATCTTTGGGGATATATTTTTTTAAAAATATAGGCCTGTACGTCCAGTCATCCCTTGCTATTTAGCTTTTCATTTATCGCAGCCTCAGTACATCATAAAAATTTCAAAATTGGGGAATGGCGTGAAAGTTGCTCGCACAACAGCAGAATGCAGAGAATGCCAACCCATTTTAAAATCCACTAAAACATAATTATAGTATATTTACGTCAGTTATTATCTTATTAATAATTTATTTGCATGTTTTAAACTGTTCTTGAACTTTAATGTTCTAATCATAACATGCACTTATATTATTATAATGACTTATTAATGACTTAGTCTTAAATGGTTTCATATACACATACACTTATTGATATTGTATATTAATATATAGATCTACACCCAAAATATATATGTTAAAAATGAGAGGGTAACAATACTTAGTGGTTCTTCATCAAAGCTGGTTCCGGTCCCTTTAACTGCAAAACATGAGGGATAACTGAATGTCACTGTAACCAGTGGCGGAACTAGAAAAAAAGGGCCACCCCTGATCGGGTTTTGAAAAAAATTTACTATGGTCGGCTATGCCCCCCCCCCCCCCCCCCCGCAATGTGGGGTATGGCGGCACTGTACCTGTAGAGTGTAGACTGTAACTTAAATTTTAAATATTAATTTATAATTGATATATACCGGCCTATAATTTTTAAAAAGAAATTGCTTTGTTTTTTTAAAAAATAGTTAAAAACTGTTTTTAGTACTATTTAAATTTTCTATACTGACCACGGACTGGGTATGATAAATTAAACGTTTTATAGAAAGAACAGTTTTAAACGTAAAAATAAATTTATTTTCTCTATTGGTAACTTAATAAACAAGGAGGACACATCTGTCTGATTAAACGGAGTTTCTACTGAAGTATAAAATTCACGCATTTTTCGGAGTTTAGAGTAACCTCAACATTATAGACACAGAACTGACTGTTAGAAACCCCCAACAGTCCTATACTATACTTTGTCTGGCACGGATCTAAACTTTACAATTCAGGTAGCAGATTAATGTTCATGTTTTTAATCATCTAGATTCTAGATCTAAGTCAAAGTAACTTGCTAAACTAATTTCGGTAATCTATCGTTTTAGGTAGGCCTATGGCCGCACTATGGCGGGCCTAATCCTAACCTAATCAGTAATCATTAATGCGTCAAGTAGTCTACTGTCTAGACTAGAAGTCTAGATCTAGTAATGTGCGACAAAGTTGCCTCATACTCTCGTGTCAAATAATGAAATATTAGGCCTAAAGATAATTGGGGAGAATGTTTTCACCAGTGTCCGATAATGGAATCTTCTTTAAAAAAGGGATGTTAAGTTACTGGTAGTTAACTAAATACACACATGGCTGGCTAATGTCAATGCTAACCCTGTCCCTAACCCTAACCTCAACCCTGGTCCACCCATACGCCTAACCCTAATTTCTAACCATAAATTAGTCAAGATTGCAATACTACTACTAACAACCTAACACCCCTTTTTTAAAGAAGATTCCATTATCGGACACCGGTATCTATAATCATCCGATAATTGAATAATAAACCAAAATCAATGGCTAAACTAAATATATCAATATATTAATTAATATTATTATATAGGTAGATCTAGGCCAGAAATGAACTTTAAGTCTTTAAACAGCAGTGTTTGCGAGCAATATTTGCTATAGGCATAGGCCTATAAAAAAATCTATAAACATCGACCATCTGTAAGTTAGAGTGGTTTCCCCCGAATCTCTAACTTGAATTTCACCAAAAAAGTAAATGAGCTTGGTTGTATCTGATGAAAACATCGCTAGTCTTTATTAGTTTATTTTTTATTGAAAAGTTTTAATACAATTGTTTAAAAACAGGTTCAACTTTGAAACATTTTTGTAACTTTCAAAACAAAAATCCTCCTAAAAATGTGAAATAATTACTAAAATTTAATGAGTCACCTTTTTTTTTTCACATTACTAGTCTTGGTCGATTTTACGTAGGCCTACCTAAAACGATATATTACCCTACGTCTAAATTTCTAAACAAACTGAAACTCAGTAAACTGTAAAAACTATAAACTCAAATAAAAAAAAAATTTCACTAAAAGTAAAACTTCATTAATCATAGACATAGCCTCATGAATGATGATGATACTTCAATCATCACTTGATAGGCCCGGATGGCAGATAAGCCTAACTCATTTTTATTTATGATTTTAAATATTTTAATCATATGGACATCAGCAAGTTGACGGCATCCTACCATCATATTTTTGACATGGATACAATTGTTTTTAAATAACATAATGCCATTTTAAACCACATGTCCTAGTTCTGCCATTTTTGTTTAAATTTTGACAATTTTGAATAATAAAATCGAATAGCAGGATGTAGCTGTTTATTTCGTTATTACCACGTGAAAACCAAATTGCTTTTGCTTTTTTTAAAAATTGTGTTTTATTACAGAAAATACTAAAACGTCAATTACATCCACTCTTTTTTAAAGTCTTAATAAACCAAACGATCAGGATTTTATAACCATATTAATTTTAATTACACTGTGCATGATTTAAAGAATATTTAATGGGCCTCTCAAATAATGTTGAGGCTATTCTCAGTTGGGTCCATTTAATGATTTGATTTCATTCACTAGCACTGCCTTGCAGTTTTTTCTTGGATAGAGCAGAAAAGCCTAGTTCTAGATCTATACTTTAATATAGAAACAAAGACTAAAAGAAGAAAAAAGTATTCTGAAAACAGCCAATCTAGCTAGATCTATCATATTAGTATAATTAGGCCTAATTAATAGTTTTAATAGGTAAGTGACTAAAATGGCAACTGCTGTGTCTATTTACAATTAAAAATATTTAGGCATAAAATCAGTTTTTCAAATGATCTAACTTTAATTTGAAATCATTATAGGATTATTGTAGATCTAGGGCTTGGATCTATAGTATATCTAGAAGATAATACAAACACTACTAAGCCTTATTTCCTTTGTCTCAAATATGTTCATTTTGCTTTGTGGTTGAAGAGTGTACTAAAATTTGTTTGCAAACACTTGCTTTCTGATTGTAAATTTATTTAGAAATGCTTACAAGTGTTCTTCTATTTGTAGTGCTGAGTAAATATTGTCATGACAAGTGAAAAAGCTGCCAACCCACTGGAACCATTCCTCCTCCTGTTGAAAGATGCTAAGCATGCTGGTGCTGCCAGTATAATTAACCAGGCACTGAGCTCCCCGAATGTGTACGTCTTTGGGGAGCTTTTACAGTTGCCAAATGTTCAAGAAGTGAGTGCCTCTAATGCTGTAACTCAAATTTTAAATTTTATTTACATTTTTTTACTTGACTGCTATTTGATTGTAGAATTCAATAATGAGATTCAGATGGGGCTATTGATACATGTAAATTTTATGGTTTTTACTAGCTAGCCACTGGGCCTCATGCATCTGTGTTTCAACTCCTCAATGTCTTTGCCTATGGAACTTATAAAGACTACAAAGGTATGTTTGGCTTTATTTTGAACCATCTTATTCCAAATTTCATTGGTTTAAAAACAATATTTACAATGGTAACTACCAAAATGAAGATAACTTTTCTTTGGCAGTCTGATTATTTTCTTATAAATCTAGTCAATAGATATTTTTTAAAATTGTCTGATTGGGCTTTTAGTATTTTTAATGATTCCTGCCAGGTAATAAAAATATGAACATTTTGTATCTCTTTCAGCAAGTACTGCACAGTTACCTGATCTTTCACCAGCACAGTTGACTAAATTACGACACTTAACAGTAGTTTCGCTTGCAACTAGAAGTAAAGTATGTTAATTTTGCTTCTTTTTCTTCAGTTGCTTGGTTTAGACTATTTCCCATCATAGTTTTTTAACCAAAAAAAAAATCATGGTATAAATTTAAATATTCATTTCCTGGATAAAGTTTTGTTGGTCACCAGAATTAGAACTTAAATGGTTAGTGTGGCATCTAGTATCGTAGCATGCACCCTAAGTGCATGTTTTAGTTGTGCAGTAGTGAGTTATACTTGGATTAATATTAATAAAACAACATTACAACTCCATTTTAATATGATTGAGTTGATATTTACTAAAATTCATTACCTATTTCACTTAATTGGATACTAAAAAGTAATATATTAAACTAAAAAACAGTTAATGCACACACAATATAATGTTTAATTTAATTTCTTATAAATTTCAAGAAATTTTTTTGTTTCTGTTACTTTTCAGTGTATTCCATATTCTGTTTTACTAGAAGAATTAGCAATGGAAAATGTGAGGAATCTTGAGGTAATGTTGCCTTTTACTTATTTAGATTGATATAGTAGAATAAAGGAATGATTTAAGCCTAAGACGGTGTTATACCCAATAATAGTCTTTTCAATACCTGTATTTCTGTAAAAAAAATTTGCTTAAAAATGTAAACATTAATAGATATTCAGTGTAATCATGTTTTTTTCTCTTGTTTATTAAGTTATCATAGCAAATTTAAATAATACAGTAAAAAATGTAAATTAACATGGAAAAATATTTTTAACAACTTATCCTTGGCATAATCTGAAGATGGATTACAATTTGTATTTTATATTTCACTTCCCAGGATCTCATAATTGAGGTGATATATGCAGATATAATTCATGGCAAGCTGGATCAGAAGAAACAGCAGCTAGAAGTAGATTACGCTCTAGGTCGAGATATTCATGATAATGTACTGACAGAAGTGCTTCAGGTTCTGCAACAATGGTCAGTAATTGTTTATATATTATTGCCGTCAGGTATTTCTTACTTAAAAAACTGGGACAGTCATTTTTATAAAATTGTCAATAAAGATGGCTTGTGACCTACTTAGGTCGAGTCACTTTTATTTTGACATTGTATAATTCCTTATATGGAATGATGGTGTAACACCTGGGGTTTTTCCACTGACTTATTAAGGTGTTTGAGACATAGAAATTTTCCATTAAGTACTGATTGAATGATTCTGATCAGATGATTATCCCAACCAATGGCGACATGAGTTGAGGATAACCTCCCCTGTCACAGAAGTCTTTAATTGCACTGCACACTCGCAACACGTGGCAGTCTACGGGGCAGTTTTACCTTGATCAGGCAGCCGTCCATATTGTCCGGCTATAGACTCTGACCATTTGAACGTGAGAGTACTTAAGACCTGTGTGTGCCTTACTTTCTTAAGTTGATTTAGTCTTCTAGTTTAATATTACTTGTCGCTAAGTAATTCCTGAAGCTTCAACAGTGTTGTGTGGCCTGTGGCTGTTTTTTTAGACAGTGTAGAAATCTGTGATAGTGTTTTTTCCTGCATTTTGTAAGTTGGGTTTTTGATATTTTATACATTAAATATTTTATCTAGTTCATCTTTGTGTTCTGCCACAACTGTGTTCGCTGATTAAAAGGTCGTATGTAGATTGGATGAGTGTTAATCACAATAGTATCACTAGCTTCCCTAGACAATCAATTCGAGCCCTAGTGTGTCGTTGTGTTAAGGTTCATCCACTTAGGCCGTAAGGTATTTGCATATGACCCCGAAAAAAGAATCCGGGGACGTTCTCCTTCTATTTGGCTGATAGATAGGTTAACGTTACAAAGTGGGGTCTCGCCGAGATTTAATCTGTCGTTCCAGTTGTTGGTTATCAGTTAAACACTAAGTTTAGTCTGATCTAGTTGTTTTTTATATCCAGTGTAGCGCCGTGGTCTTACAACGCGCGCTCAGGCTAGAGTTATCTAGGTCAAATAAGCAGACGTGTCGTCCTACATTTAGAGGTCGAGTACACGGCCCAACGCTGTGTATTAATTTAAAGGATCTAGGCTTGTTGTGATTTTCAAGTTAGTGTTATGGAGTCTTTTTTGGCTAATCCTACTGTTGAAGATGTAGAAAAGTTGAGTAGAAAAGTTTTGGTTAGTGTTGTTAAGGAATTGAAATTGGATTATTCTGTTACGCAGAAATCAGAGGTGTTGAGAGATAAAATTGTTGTTCATTTCATTAATGAAGGAGTATTTGACGAAAGTTTGTTAGCTAGTGTGTTGCTCCGCGAGGAGAAATCTATAGAAGAGAGGGAGCTTTTATTAAAAGAAAAGGAGTTTGAAACTAAAAGTGCTCTAGAGAAGGAGAAAGTTGCTTTAGAGAAACAGGAGTTAGAGGCTAAAATTGCTTTAGATAAGAGGAGGTTGGAATTAGAGTTTGGTCAAGTTAGTGATGTTACTTCTCTGGTAGATCCAAAAAAGTTGTCGGTAGGGCAAGTGATTGCCAAATTTGGGAAATTAGTTCCTAAATTTGATGAAACAGATTTGGTCGTTTTCTTTAACTCGTTTGAGAGTTTAGCGAAGACATGTGAATGGCCCGAAACTTCCATTACTGCTTTATTGAGCTCTGTCCTTACTGGGAAAGCTGCAAAAACATACCAGGCACTCTCTCACGACGTTCAAAATAACTATAGTTTGGTCAAGACTGCCATTTTAAAGGCCTACGCACTGACGCCCGAGGCCTATCGGACAAAATTCCGAACACTCCGCAAGTTACCCACACAATCATATGTGGAATTTCTCTTTGAAAAGGAGAAAATATTCTCAAGGTGGCTACACTCTGAGGAAGTTTCTGAGTTTGAGAAACTCAGGTCACTTATCCTAAGGAAAGAATTCCTAACGTCCCTGCCTGAAGAGATACGACTACACATTCTGGATAACAAGATAACTGACATCCAGAAGGCTGCTGAGTCGGCTGACACATATATGTTGGTGCATAAGAAACCACCAGTGTCAGGAAACCGCCTCAACCCCGTGCTTCCCCTTTTTGGCAGCAATCCTCCTGTTGGCCAACATTTGAAGGCATCACAGTCCAGAGAGAAACCAAGATCAACTCTCAATCGTCGAGCAGTATGCCAGTTCTGCAAAAGGTCTGGGCATCTTGTCAAGGACTGTTACAAACGTCTCCAGAATAACAGAGAGGTGGTGCGTACTTCTGCGCACTATGCTCTACCCCCTCAAGCAGCCAGTTCAACTATGAACTCTAGAATTCTAAAGGACTCTAACCCTAAGTGTCCGCAAGAAGGTAGTCAAGTCTCCACACATTATGTGCAGTCACATTTTGACTGTTCTCGCCACCATCCAGTTTCTTCCGAGTCTACCGATCTCGAGGGATCGAGAAAAGTTGACTTTTCATCTTGTATTGCCAAAGCCATCATTAGCAAACCAGGTGATCCGTTGTCTCAGAAGAATATCACCGTCCTAAGAGACACAGGAGCGTCACAATCACTCCTTTTGAAAAGTTCAATGGACATTACACCTGAGACGAACACCGGAAGGATTTCCATTATCCAGGGAGTGGGGACAAAATCTACTGTCGTCCCTCTACACAAGTTCGCCCTGAAACATCATCTCGTCGAAGGTGAGGTCATTTTAGGTGTGATAGATAGTATTCCTGTCCCAGGAGTACACCTACTTCTAGGGAATGACCTTGCGGGAAGCAAAGTATACCCCTGTACGGTTTCAGACCCTTTGTCAACAGTTCCAGATAATGATAATGAACTGTATCCTGCATGTGCGGTGACAAGAAGCCAGACCAAACAATTGGCTGACACAACGTCTGAACCACATCTACCATCATCGTCAAGAAATTCGACTCCCAAACTGGAGTCTATGCTTCCAGAAAACACAAGCCTGGGCTTACCCCTGAGGATATCTCAGGAAGACATCATTAAAGCTCAACAAGTCGACGCGGAACTCAAAGCAACGGTCGAAAAATCTCTATCATCTGACGATGGAGAATATTTCTCCGAGAACGGCCTCTTCTTTCGTCGCGCTATACCAGTGAATTCCTCACCAGCCGAACCATGGTTGGGTAAAAACCAGCTGTGGGTCCCTCCACCTTATCGGCATGAAATACTTAAGCTGGCACATGACCATCCAATGTCAGCGCACCCAGGAGTCTCTAAAACGACGGCGAAGATCAAAGAGCTGTTCTTTTGGCCCAAAATGAGAAAAGATGTGTCGCGTTACTGCAGAAGTTGCACGAACTGTCAGTTGGCCGGAAAGCCAAACCAGACAATTCCTAAGGCCCCTTTGAGTCCGATTCCTGTATTAGAAGAACCTTTTTCTAAAATTGTCATGGACTGTGTAGGTCCCTTGCCTAAAACCAAGGCGGGCAACGAGTACCTACTTACCTTTATGTGTTCAAGTACCCGTTTTCCCGAGGCGATTCCCTTACGGAACATTAAGGCAAAGACTGTAGTCAGAGCCATGACCCGGTTCTTCACTACCTTTGGATTACCTAGAATCGTGCAAACAGATCAAGGCAGCAACTTCACCAGTCACCATTTTCAGGAAGCGCTAGCCAAGCTAGGCGTTACCCACATCACCAGCTCAGCCTACCACCCTCAGTCTCAAGGCGTACTTGAGAGGTTCCACCAAACCCTCAAAACCATGCTAAGGACATTCGCTAATAGTAACACCCAATGGGATGAGTCTGTTCCTTGGATTATTTTCGCCGCGAGGGACTGTGTCCAGGACTCTTTAGGTTACTCGCCTTTTCAACTTGTGTTTGGACATTCTGTCCGTGGTCCCCTGAAGCTGATACACGAACGTTGGACAGGTACCAGTGATCATCCAGTGGAAAACTTCGACGATTTTCACGTTCGACTGAAAGCCGTGTGCGAAATGGCTCACAAGAACTTAAGAAAGGCCCAAGTGAGAATGAAAGGACTGTATGATAAGAGTTCTTGTAAACGAACATTCAATCCAGGCGACAAAGTTCTTGTGTTAGTGCCTAATCTGAACAATGCGTTATCCTTGAGATATTGTGGACCCTTTACTGTGCATTCAAAATTAAGTGATTTGAACTATGTTGTCAATACGCCTGACAGAAGAAAGAAACAGACAGTGTATCATGTTAACTCACTGAAAAAATATTATGATAATTGTAACAATTTTCATTCCACAGCTGAAATTACTTTACCTGTATGTTCAAATGTTTCTGATGATGTGATACATGATAAATTGAAACCCCCAAAATTGGTAAATTCTTCCTTTTTAGATAATTTGAATGTCCACCTTATGCATTTGTCCACAGAGGAAAGCCATAGATTGTCTCAGTTATTCGAGACCTTTCCCTCTATTTTTGGGGATGTTCCCAAAGAAGCGAAGGTTCCACCCCATGATGTAGACGTTGGTGACGCAAAACCCATTAAACAACACCCCTATAGAGTTAACCCGGAAAAAGCTGCTTTGATAAAAGATGAAATTGATTATATGCTCAAGAATGATATCATTGAGCCCAGTTTCAGCAACTGGAGTTCCCCATGTCTCCTAGTCCCGAAAGACGGTGGATCTTTCAGGTTCGTGACCGACTTTAGGAAGGTGAATGCGCTCACCAAAGCTGATTCCTATCCTTTACCTCGGATAGAGGACGTTATTGATAAAGTTGGTCAGGCTAAGATAATTTCCAAAATTGATTTACTTTCAGGATACTGGCAAATCCCCTTATCTGACCGTGCAAAAGAAATATCCGCTTTTGTAACCCCTAATGGTTTTTATAGATACAAACGCATGCCCTTTGGTATGCGAAATGCTGGTCAAACTTTCCAGAGGGTCATTAACTCTGTCATTGCTGACATAGACCAATGTGAGGCCTACATAGATGATATAGTTGTATTTTCTAATACTTTTGAAGAACATATTGTTCAGTTGACTAACCTTTTTAGAAAATTGTCTGAAGTTAATTTTACTGTAAACTTACATAAAAGTGATTTCTGTAAAGCTTCAATTACCTATTTGGGTTATCAAGTGGGAACGAACCAAGTCCGGCCCATTGAAGCTAAAGTAGATGCTATTGTAAAGTTACCACCTCCCAAAAATTGTAAAGAGATCAAAAAGTTCCTTGGGATGGCTGGTTACTATAGGCGGTTCTGTCAAAACTTTTCAGCTATTGCTGAACCTCTTACTGCATTATTGAAAAAGGGTGTTGAGTTTGAATGGTCAAATAAATGTCAAGAAGCCTTTTTAACCATTAAGTCATTTTTATCAAATGCTCCTGTTATGGCTGCACCAAATTTTAGCAAGCCCTTTAAACTTGCCATTGATGCTAGCAACTTAGCCATTGGCTCAGTCCTATTTCAAGAAGACAACATGGGAATTGACCATCCCATTGCCTTTTTTTCCAGGAAGTTAAATGAGAACCAAAAGAATTATTCTACTATTGAAAAAGAAGCTTTAGCTTTGGTTTTATCATTACAACATTTTGAAGTCTATGTCTCTTCTTCAACTAATCCAGTCAGAGTGTTTTCTGACCATGATCCCCTGAGATTTACCTCTAAGTTAGGACAGACAAATCAAAGAATATTAAGATGGTGCTTATATTTCCAAAATTTTAATCTGGAAATTTCACACATTAAGGGTAGTGATAATGTTGTGGCTGATTGTTTGTCAAGAATGTAAAATCTTGTTACACACATTGATCATGTGACATGCTTTGTGGTTCATTAGGACCATAAACAGGTTTTGTTTGAGTGTCACTCATATGAAAATGAGTGGTGTGAGTTTTGAATTTTTTTCAAAATTCCAATCCTGTTGAATATTTTGTTTATTTTCAGGTGAACCTTAATTAAAGGTGGTTTTTGATTATATGTAATCTTTTATAATAATATGTCTCATATGACTCAGTTGATATTGTAGCTAGTCATTGAAATAAAGGTCTTACCCTGGCGGGTTTACCACTTTTAATATCCTCATGGAAATATTGTAATACCCTTTTTTGAGGGATTTTGATGTATAATTACTTTTTGAAGGGTTACTCCCCTTTCACCAATTGTAAAAGTTGGAGTTACTTCCCTTTTATGTTCAGGGATATTTTCATCTGGTATTATGATTTTGATTGCCTACGTTTGTAAAACATTTTTGTTATTTCATTGCCAGATTGGTTCCTTATGTATGTTCTTGTGGAACCTATCTGTCACTTCCAAAAAGGGAGGGGATGTGACCTACTTAGGTCGAGTCACTTTTATTTTGACATTGTATAATTCCTTATATGGAATGATGGTGTAACACCTGGGGTTTTTCCACTGACTTATTAAGGTGTTTGAGACATAGAAATTTTCCATTAAGTACTGATTGAATGATTCTGATCAGATGATTATCCCAACCAATGGCGACATGAGTTGAGGATAACCTCCCCTGTCACAGAAGTCTTTAATTGCACTGCACACTCGCAACACGTGGCAGTCTACGGGGCAGTTTTACCTTGATCAGGCAGCCGTCCATATTGTCCGGCTATAGACTCTGACCATTTGAACGTGAGAGTACTTAAGACCTGTGTGTGCCTTACTTTCTTAAGTTGATTTAGTCTTCTAGTTTAATATTACTTGTCGCTAAGTAATTCCTGAAGCTTCAACAGTGTTGTGTGGCCTGTGGCTGTTTTTTTAGACAGTGTAGAAATCTGTGATAGTGTTTTTTCCTGCATTTTGTAAGTTGGGTTTTTGATATTTTATACATTAAATATTTTATCTAGTTCATCTTTGTGTTCTGCCACAACTGTGTTCGCTGATTAAAAGGTCGTATGTAGATTGGATGAGTGTTAATCACAATAGTATCACTAGCTTCCCTAGACAATCAATTCGAGCCCTAGTGTGTCGTTGTGTTAAGGTTCATCCACTTAGGCCGTAAGGTATTTGCATATGACCCCGAAAAAAGAATCCGGGGACGTTCTCCTTCTATTTGGCTGATAGATAGGTTAACGTTACAGGCTAAAAGCAATCATTTTAAGGGTTGTTCATAAATTGATGTGATGATTTGAAGGCATAATTTTACCATCCACTGTCCATTCTTGCACATCACCACACAAAAGCCTTTTCAAATAACATCACAAACTCCACCCCCACATCATAATGTTATATTAAATACAAATTTTTCATATTTTTGGTTCTAAAAAAAGTACCAATTAATGCCACATTCAATTTTCTTGATCCCACTTTTTTGCTTTAAAATATTCTTTATCCGAAATTGTTGACTAGTCTAATTGTGTACTGCTTTTTTTTTTGCGTAGGATAGTGCTAAGCACAAGTACATTTGTGTTAATATATTTCCTGGCATTCTCTATATTGTGGTCAGGTTTTTATACTCCTTACAAAAGCAATCACAAACCCCATGGTTACTGAACTAGTGAATGTGAAATTGTGTCTGATCACAAAGCCCATGGTTACTGAACTAGTGAATGTGAAATTGTATGTGTCTGATCACAAAGCCCATGGTTACTGAACTAGTGAATGTGAAATTGTATGTGTCTGATCACAAAGCCCATGGTTACTGAACTAGTGAATGTGAAATTGTGTCTGATCACAAAGCCCATGGTTACTGAACTAGTGAATGTGAAATTGTATGTGTCTGATCACAAAGCCCATGGTTACTGAACTAGTGAATGTGAAATTGTGTCTGATCACAAAGCCCATGGTTACTGAACTAGTGAATGTGAAATTGTATGTGTCTGATCACAAAGCCCATGGTTACTGAACTAGTGAATGTGAAATTGTATGTGTCTGATCACAAAGCCCATGGTTACTGAACTAGTGAATGTGAAATTGTGTCTGATCACAAAGCCCATGGTTACTGAACTAGTGAATGTGAAATGGTATGTGTGTGATCACACAGCCCATGATTCTAGCTTGTTTTACCTGAAGTTGGATCCTCATTATACACAGGTGCAATGGATGTGAAGGTGTCCTAAGAAGTATAGAAGAACAGATTAACAAAGCTAACACCTTCAAAGAAAAACAGAATCAGCAGAGGATATCACTGGAAGATGAGGTTTGGAAATTCTTATTAAATTTTTTTATATGCTATGTTTTTGTTAAAATTAACATACCAAACTCAATTCAGTTATTCAAATTTTAATCAATAAATTTTTTGCATACTAATCTGAAAAATAGCAAACAGAATGCATACATTTTTATTAAACATAACTCCATATTACATGCCCAGTTTGATTAATTGCTAATTTTGTTAAAACCCCGGATATTTTGTTGTTTTATTTAAACTGGTTTTTTTTTTCATTCTTTTTTTTTCTTTTTTTACAAACTCCAAATATGGATAAAATGAGGTAGAAATATGGTTAAAAAAAGGGAAGCTACTGTAATATGTACCTGTTATTTCCCCTTAGGTGATCAACATTAAAAAGACAATAAAAACCAGCCAACAGCAGGACCTGGATGAGGCCATGGTCACAGACAGCAGAAGTGACATTTCCATTGACAAGGGGGTCAAGAAAGCTGTCAAAACTAAAGGGTGAGCAGACGTGTTCATCATCAAGTTTTCTTAGGACTAGGTCATTGTAAGGCTAGTTTTTGTGATGATTCTTTAAAACTTGTTTCTTTTTATTTGTCAGTGAGGGCTAGGTCATTGTAAGGCTAGTTTTTGTGATGATTCTTTAAAACGTTGTTTCTTTTTATTTGTCAGTGAGGGATAAGTCATTGTAAGGCTAGTTTTTGTGATGATTCTTAAAACTTGTTTCTTTTCATTTGTCAAAGAGGACTAGGTCATTGTAAGGCTAGTTTTTGTGATGATTCTTAAAACTTGTTTCTTTTTATTTGTCAGTGAGGGCTAGGTCATTGTAAGGCTAGTTTTTGTGATGATTCTTAAAACTTGTTTCTTTTCGTTAGTCAGTGAGGGCTAGGTCATTGTAAGGCTAGTTTTTGTGATGATTCTTTAAACTTGTTTCTTTTCATTTGTCAGTGAGGGCTAGGTCATTGTAAGGCTAGTTTTTGTGATGATTATTAAAACTTGTTTCTTTTCGTTAGTCAGTGAGGGCTAGGTCATTGTAAGGCTAGTTTTTGTGATGATTCTTTAAAACTTGTTTCTTTTCTTTTGTCAGTGAGACTAGGTCATTGTAAGGCTAGTTTTTGTGATGATTCTTAAAACTTGTTTCTTTTCGTTAGTCAGTGAGGGCTAGGTCATTGTAAGGCTAGTTTTTGTGATGATTCTTTAAACTTGTTTCTTTTCATTTGTCAGTGAGGGCTAGGTCATTGTAAGGCTAGTTTTTGTGATGATTCTTAAAACTTGTTTCTTTTCGTTAGTCAGTGAGGGCTAGGTCATTGTAAGGCTAGTTTTTGTGATGATTCTTTAAAACTTGTTTCTTTTCTTTTGTCAGTGAGACTAGGTCATTGTAAGGCTAGTTTTTGTGACGATTCTTTAAAACGTTTCTTTTCATTTGTCAGTGAGGGCTAGTTCCTGTAAGGCCAGTTTTTATGATGATTCTTTAAAACTTTGTTTCTGTTCAGTGGTAACTGAAAGGATAGTTTATATTGTGATTTCCTTTAAAAGCTATTTTTCTTGGTGCTATACAAGATCTATGAATTATTTTTGCACATGAGTGAATTTTCCATTAGAAAAAAATTGAAGATTTCTATTTCTTCCTATTCTTTGAAAATACAACCTGATGTTAAACATCTTCATCTTCAAAATTAAAATAATAGTTGCCTAATTAATGATTTTTACTTATGATATAAAAATCCTTGTGTGTTGTAATAGCTTAATACAGTTTACATTTTTTAAATTATTGAACTAACATTTATTTAAAATTTGTTTTCTAAAAAAATTTTGAATGAGGTACCATTTTTAATTTCAGGTTGAGGGGAAGTAACCCAGGAAAGTTATGGAAGTGATCAGCTGAGATATTGTTTTAGTGTATGTGGCTGCGAACCTGATCTTGTAAATATTTATTCAGATATTGAAAACGTTTGCAATTTTTGACTTGACTCTGTTTCAAAAGTAAAAAAAAAGTGTTTGATTATACTAAGCTACCCAATCCATTGGATGTATGCTACAAATGTGTCCACATCCCAAAGTTCACTGGATACAACACATTTTTTAATAAACAACTGTTTTAATATTCTATAAATTGTGTTAGTTTTACATCTTGTAAACCTTTAATTATTTTACATGCATGCATTAATTATACAAGCCATTGTTAGTTTGGCACTAATTTATTCACTAGCAACAATCTATTTGTGTAAATTACTGCCCTTGAGCTAGCAATACCAGCAGTAAAGCTGTGTTGGCTCAATACATAGAATAGCTTCTATTTGATAATACAGTATTTCATATTATCTTAAGACTTGTTGTTTTTGTGTGTTTTCTACACAATGTGTCTCTTGTATTTGAAAAGTAATTTTTTAGTAATTTTTTCAAACACAGCATATTTTGCTTTTCAAAAAAGGACTTCTTTTGTAAAGTGAATACAATTTAACTATGACCTGGATTTGTGAAAATTTTAGTATTAAAAAAATGATTAGATATTTTCAAATACATTCAAATCGATTGCGGGTGGTGGGGGTGGAATTTCAGACACTTTGTGATGGTGGGGGGGGGGGGGGGGGGGTCATGGAGTGAAATCTAAAAAAAATGTGGTCTTTTAAGGACGATTGCTTTAATTAAAGCATTGATTGCCTTAAGATTATAAGATATCCAAAGCAGTTTCTTAATTGGCCCTACTAACATACACCACTGCAGCTACCAATCATTTTTACACTTACACAAAAAGCCAGTATAGTAGTAAACAGCATCTGGTTTATTCATTTACAGTGTTATTCATTTACAGTGTTAAAACTACACGTAATAGAAAGTAAGAAAATGATAATCACTTTTTCATTTATTCATTTACTGGTGAAAGTAAAGCATATCAACCTACGTCTTAATAACCTCCCCCTCCCTAGGTCTGTGATGTCATTTATGGAAAAACCCCAAACAAAGAAATTAAGCATCAAATCATCAAATATAATAAGTCTTTACATTGAATTCAATAAGCCGAAACTGTCAAAGCATTTGTGATGTAGGCGAATATTATTTTTTGGTTATATCTAAAATGTAACCAGTACTTTTAGACATCTCTCATGGTGGCCCCCCACCTCTCGGAGACGAAGTAGAAAAAAAATCAATCAAATGTAATAGAAAAAATCATTGTCTTCTCCCTCTCCCGGGGCAAAGAGTTATAAAGAAACCTGATTTATAATCAATGCGCTTAATTCTTTCACACCTACACCCGAATTATGCTGAACAATGTAATGTAAACAAACCTGCGAAGATTATATTTCTATAGATCTAGATTGTAATCAATACGTTATATTCTTAGCATGTTATGCCCAATCAATTCAGTAAGCCGAATTATGTAACAATGTAAAAAAAAATAAGCGAAGATTATTTTTGTATATATGTCGATTATAATCACTGCGTTATATTCTTAGTATCTTACAGAGGCGTAGCGCGGCGGGGGGGGGGGGGGACATATGTCCCCGGGCGCCAACCCAAAATGGGTTGGAAAAACAAATTGAAAGTTGTTTGAGGGGGGGGGGGTGTTGCAAATCGAAAGTTTGATGGGGGGGGGGGGGTGCAAATCGAAAGTTTGTCCCCGGGCGCCGGGAAGGGTCACTACGCCTCTGGTATCTTAGTATCAATCCAGTAAGGCGCGTTACGAAACAATGTAAAAATAAATAGTGAAGATTATATTTATATGCATATATAATGATTATAATGAACGAGCCGACCCGCGGCATATCATACGCCGCTATTTAGTTGTTTTTTTTTCTACTTTTCAGTCATTTATAATTTGTGAATTCGACAGTACCAACGATGCCACTGAAAATATTTCTTTAAAACACTATAAGTAGCTCGTTAAGGACGATAATCCCCCCCCCCTCCTTCCCCGCCCCCCTCCGTTAAAGTAAACTCCACTTAGTTACCCCCCCCCCCCCCCTTACGTTTAAAATAGTTTCAAACTAAATTATCTGCCCCTAATAGTCGTCACTAAACACGGCTCTGCTTGTAAACATTTAGCGTGAACCACAGCTCACCAGACCATGTAGGGGTGGGGGTGGTAGGGAGCGCGCTTACAGCTTGTTTTCTAGCGTCTCCCAGAAGAGAATTATATATATATATATACATGCGTTGTATTCTTAGAACCAGCCAATTCAGTTTAGCAAATGCTGTAACGATGACAAAAAATAGCGAAGATTATTTTGGGATAACATCAATGCGCGCGTTACACCTCTGTTCTTTCACCTCCTCTCCCCACCCACCTAAGCCAGGTGCACGCGATAAGCGCGCGCGCCGTCTCATTGATTCCCATCGATCTCAACTACGTCACGAGGAAAATGCTGGCCGCGTCGCGTGCACGAATCCCCCACACACTAGTATTGTCTCGCCGCTAACACACACAAACACACGCACTGTCAACACGCCCGATTGTATTTCCGCACCTGAATTAGCGCCGTGTGTGGACGGTCGAGCAGTACCAAGAAATTATTACCTGTCGTGGAGTATAGTACCGAGAAATGTATATCCTGCGATTATAAAAATAAACGTTCATTATTATGAGTGTTAGTCACTGACCCGGTTATTGTTTTTGAAAGACAGATTTTCCCATTTGGATTAAACTTGGTTGTTGTGGATAAGATTAAGAGCAAGGTAAATTATCCGCTTAATTCATTCAGGATATTCAGGTGAGTTAACCGTGTTTTATTATCCTAAATGCCAAGTCCGTCTTAAAAAAAAAATAAGAAGAATTTGCAATGTAAATATAAAATAAAAATATCTTCTCTGCGATTTACCTTAAGTGTTTTAAAATCATTTTCCATAACAAAATTTGATTCTATATATTTGTATTGATACGTGGTTATTTATAAAAGAAAATACCCAGTCAACGAAAGTGATATTTTTAAAGTGTCATTATTCACCCAACCAAATGTTTACCATGAGCGATATAAAGCGATTAACATCTGCCGTCCGCCATCTGCTGTAGAAAAAAAATCTATAAAGTAAAAATGGTGTCGGGAATAATTTTTTTTCCATATCCATTGAGTATGTTCGTCACTGGAGTGTGTCGTTCGGTTCTGCCTGTGTTGCAGTGGTGTGTAAATCTTGTGTTTATTAGTGCACAATTTATATGCTAACATATCTTGTTATGATTGGTATGTTGCGAAAGTTCATCGGAGGAGCATGCGTATTATTCTTCTCACATAAAGCTACACATAAAGATTTTTTTTCTCACACCTCAGTAGCGTAGCGTTATATTAAAAAAATACATATACGAAAGCCTATACGTATATTATCCATACATTCGGAGGAAAGTGGGTACTTGAAAACTTCCACAATCAGAAATAGTTTATTTTTTTTTTTTTACTTAAAAGCAATCTTTATGATTAACTAAATTTTAAAAAATAAAAACAACTCACGGTTTTTAGGTGTAACTATTAAAATAAAATAGCACAGTAATTAAGACAAAAAAATTACATAACGGTGCTAATTACCCGAACAGCGGTACAAAAAGTACTAGCGGTGATGCCGGTAAGTAAGAATGGTATAAAGATAACGAGTTAATCACTAATGTGTTGATTTGTATGCTTGCGCTGGTTTTTGTATAATCTTGCTGGAGATAAATAGTTGTTGAGCTAAAAATAACTCCACACGTTCAAATGTTGTGAAATTAGTTTGGTCAATACTGCATTCTTTGACTGAAGAGAGTATATTCCAGGATAAAGCATATTAGAGCTTATCATCAAAGCCGGAAAGAGCTTCTAGCTTGAAGTGTAATGCCATACAAATGGATGAAGGTTAAGCCTATCGTAAATTAATTGTTGGATGTTTTTATTTTTTATAAAGATAAAAGAGTTAAATGAGTAATTTATTTAAAAAATGCCTGAAATGGACTAGTATAGCATGAGTAAGCAAATATGCGTATTCCTTCCAGAACATTTACTAGCCTTGATCTATTCATAAACCTAACAATATCACTAACATTTAAAGTGGGGTAGTGTTCTACTGTTATTTTTCGGGCGGGGTGATATACAAAAAAAAAGGGGGGGGGGGGGGGGGGGGGGGTTACATTGGCTGAGGTATGTGTGTGAGGGGGGGGGGGGTTAATGTCCTGTACCCGTTATCCCGATAGTAATTATTATTGCGGTAAGTTGTGCCATGCTATTCTGATCAGAGTTTCTTCCAGGCATCTATTCGCGAATTCCACCTCCCCCCGAAATTTTAGTCTGCCCCCCCCCCCCCGACAATTTTAAGTGATCCCCGAAGAAAAAAATGCTGGAAGAAACATTGATTCTGATAAAACACGAAGTGGGACAGGTAGACAAACGTCACAAGTCCATCAATTCATTAACTTTGAACCTACACCACTGTGCAGCTCCGATGACACGTCTTCTCACTAGACCACAAGACTCATTCACAGCCAACTCACTGACATCAACAACACAGCCACACAGCTATACATTAGATCCGACATGCAATGGATATCACTAAGATATATACAACACAAGGGACGCAACAATAACTAACAAGACATAACGTACATCGCGACCGCGCCCCTAAAAGGTTAAAATGCCCCCCCCCCCCCTCCCTTTTCGGGCCAAAAAAGAAATTGTCTTAAAGAACCCCTGTTGTGAACATACACTAGCCCAATCCACCCTAGTTTTCTGCACCCCCCTCCCCCTTTCCAATTGTGTTTTACCAAAGACTGGTCGATTAATATATGTCAACGAATTCGGGTATTACAGTAATGAATTCGTTCAACCTTAAACAACAACAACCCGCTTTGTTTAATGTAGGCCTATCGTTCTCGGCGAGACCCCTGGTTGAATTATGTTGGATAATGGAAAATGTCTAATTACCATTTGTTTACATTGATATTGACGGAACATGTTTAATTACCATATGTTTATATCGATATTGACGGGACATATGTCTAATTACCATTTGTTTATATTGATATTAATGCGACAATTGTCTAATTATCATTTGTTTATATTGATGACAAATGTCGAATTACCATTTGTTTATATTGATATTGATGGCAAATGTCTAATTACCATTTGTTTATATTGATATTGATGGCAAATGTCTAATTACCATTTGTTTATATTGATATTGACGGGACAAATGTCTAATTACTTTTTGTTTGTATTGATATGGATGGGTTTTATATTTTGATAGAACGTAGTTTTTAAAGTATCTAAATGGATGCTTTTAAATCCGCTGAAAAGTTTATTTATATTTAATGCCTTTATGACAATTAGAAAAAAAAGCAAAATACAAACTCATTATACTGATACACCTGCCTTAGATGTTTTATGCTACAAAATTTTACATGTGGTCATTCTTTGTTTACTTTTTAAATTATCGATTACAAAATGAAAATTCCCATGAGCAATTTTTTGTGCGCAGTTTTCATTTGCGCATTTTTCCTTTGCGCATTTTTTCTTGTTGCCCCTTAGAGCATGTCTAGATTGAAAAGTCTCAGGGGAAATCCTCATTTGGCTCATGAATAGAAAAACAGAGACCACTATATTTTAAGGACCAATATTTATCAAGAGGGAACTTTTGTGTGAAAATGGTCTGCCGCTGCCCATTTTCGACACGCTTTTCAGCTTTTAGTGTGAGATTATTTTACCGTACATGCAGATTCCTTTACAGTAAAAGTACACGAAAACATTCCCCGTAGCGTTAACTCGAATCTTCACTTTTTCCACCACACCTAGCCAATCGAGACTCACGTCTCTATTGATTCGACCAATCCAAACCCGTGTCTTTATTGATCTGACCAATCGATGCTCTTGTTTCTGAAACAAAAAATATAATTGATATTTTCTTTTACCACGATACACGCCCACGTTATAAATGATTAAATTAATGGTTGGAATCGATACATTGATCAGAGATCGATCAACCTAACATGTTGGCAGGAATTGAGATTTTGTTCTATTTTTTCTGCTGATTGATTTCTGTTGCTTTTATTGCCAGTTCATGCTTGAGTGAATTAAAGTTTGATGGAAGTATCTCTGGGTCGTCTCGACCTTCATGTCGACACCCACCACATTGAGAAAACAAAAACTGCTGACTTCAGCTGTTTTGCTGTGGCTTTGCCCAGGTCATGAAAACAAACTACTGCGTCGCGTCTTAATGAATGTCAAAGACTCGTTAAGAAGGCGATAGACTGCATTTATCTGGAGTTTCATTGATTTATTTTTAGTTAAAGAAATAGTTCTTCCTTAAAATAATGACATTTAAAATACGACTCGTATATAAGCTCTTTATGATAAATAATAGTAATAAGCTTATGTGTTTACTAAATAAAGAATAGATTTTATTTTTAAGATACAAACGTTAGAGCATTGTAAGTTCATTAATTTTCTTCAACATATTGTAGTTAACAAAAATGTGTACTATTATATCTGCGCTAATAATAGTTTATTTTCTTATGTTTAATACATTTAAAATATTGTTATAAAGGTTTTAGAGTACAATTTTATTTTCCACATTTTATTATCTAGGAATTGTAAAGAAATATATTTCTAAGTGGATATCTTAAAAAAAAAATAGCAGGCTTCCTTATGCTTTTCATTCTGTTTGTTCTTTATTACCTCGATATCCCACGGGACTGAAATCCATTAAGAACGACAAGTTACTCATGATCTTATTTAAAAATAATTATCTGCCCCTTATCAACGTCAGCCGACGGCTCTCTGATGTAGAAACATCTGTGAGCTAACATCCAATGAGCCCCGACTGATCGTTAACACTAAATCCTGTTTGCTTATCTTTTGTAACTGAATATGGTAATATCGAAATTAATTTTTAATGACACATTTAATATTTAATTAGAATGAACACGATATATTCTTGCTTATTCATCGGAATTTAATTTATTTGGAATCGCTGCACTAGAAGTTGATCGGAATAGAGTTCCAAGATTTGTTAACTGATAGCTTATATAGAATTTTTAAAAATATAATTCGTTGAGTTTATATTTTAAATGTACTCTACACATATTTAAATTTTCTTTTTTTGTTTTCTTTTACAGATTAAAGAGTGTCTTCCAAAAAAAAAAAGATCGTACACATTATATTTAGAAAAGTTAATCACCCATTAAAAAAAAATAACTTTAACAATATTTAAAAAAAAACAAAAAAAAAAACAAAACAAACACACAAAAAAAACTAATTTGGCCCATGATTAAAACTAGATCTGGCCACCAAGAATGCGGAACATACTTGCCAGGTAGTAATAGACAGGAAATGTTCACGAGAGTCAAGTCAACAAGATGAGCTGGTATCTGCTGAAGCATTTTCGGACGAGAATACAAAAAACATGTAGGCCTTATAGGGAACATTTTAAAATGTTGAATTTTCAAGACTCCCACTAGAGGGTCTCACAAGTGTTGTAAATATAAACCTCAATGGGTCTCAAATTGTACTACGTGAATCAGATGATGCCCTGGATGTAGGTAGAGAAACACAAGTGCAAGAACTCGCCATGAAGCGACACCTGGCCGGCTGAACATGCATGGGTCAGAGGTCGCCATAGCGTGGATCGTTCTGTGCCCCATCGCTTTCCTCACCAACGTCATCATCCTCTTGGTCGTCCAGCATTACCGGCCCTTGCTCCACAGCTGTGATGTGGCCTTCACCTCCCTGCTCGTCACCATGGCAGCCAACGCGATGCTTCTCCTTCCGGTACAGTCCGTCACGGAGCTGGCCAGTATCCCGTGGGGCGTGGAACTCTGCACCTTCTACGTCTGGCTGTCCCTGACCCTACGAGCCTCGCATCTTTTAGTTCTTCTTGTTCTCAACGTCTACTGGGTCGCGTCCTTGAGAGTCACGGTCAAAGGTCACATGTTCACGTCATCCAAACACGTCAAATTTCTCGTCACCATCTGCTGGATTATCGCCGTCATCATCGGGATCATCCCAGCCACCGGTGGAATAAAAATCTTTCAGTTCTACGACTCGGAAACCTGCAAGTTCCTCCCCACGGATGTCAGCCTCGGGTTTGGCGTCGTGTTCATCATCATGGCGCTGGTCTCTTTCGTGATGGGCATCATCAGCAGTGCCGACTCCAGGCAACTCTTCAAGCACATGCACCAGGTGGCGCTGAGGAAGTACAACGCCGGGCGGTTCCACCTGCCGACCGTCTCCGGGAATGTGCAGACGAGCTCGCCCGTCCACGCCAAGTACAGCGAGCTGAACGTGGCGAGGGAGTTGTGTAGTCTTGTGTTCTACGTCACGCTGATGTCGTCATGTCTCAACTCGATTCCGTTATTTGTAAGTAAATTGTTTTTAAAAATATATTAACTATTGGTTGGTTTGTGATGGTAGAATATGGGATGTCAAATAACATGCCCTGCTACCTTGGGGGGTAGAGTTTCTTCCAGGCATCTCTTCGAAGAAAGTATACCGCCCCCCCCCCCCCGAACGAGATGGATTTTATATAGTAAACATACACTTTTACTAGTTTCCACACCCCCCCCCCCCCGAAAAATGTTGACCCCCCCCCGAAAATTTCAAGTGCCCCCCCCCCGGAGAAAAAAGTCTGGAAGAAACACGGGGGGGGGGGGGGGAGGAGGAGATTGAAGTTGATATAAACTGCTAAAACAAAAGGAAGTGAGATGGAGGAAGTTACAGCTAAGTAAGTGTAGCGGGAGGGGACGGCGTGGCCTAGAGGTAGAGCGCTAGATTGCTAACCAGAAATTATTGAGTTCGATTCTGGGTGCAAGTCAGTATACCGTCCCTGCGTCCACCCAACTCTGATGGACACCCAACTCACACTAAGGAGTGTAAATGCGCCCTCTTTTTTGACGTTAAAACTTCACCAAAATAGAAATAATTAGAAAATCACCCAATAACTTTACAAATTGTATTTCATGTACGACTAGTTATTTTTCAGCAATGCTATCTATATCAATCTGTAACACCTATTTTTATACATTACAGGTGAAATTATAATAATTCGCTTTGTTACCCTTTAGCCATTTTGGTTGATAATACGTTTGTATTTCGTATTGTTTTGTTACTACGAAAGAAAAATACAAGCGTATCAATTCATCAATAATGTAGTTTCTGTAGCATATTCCATTGGACTGATAAGCTGACAGTAAAACAAATATTTGCTCACCCAACTACCAACGCACGTGATTTAACATCCCCACCCCCCTCCCCACCTCACAGGTCTCACAGTTCGTCCAGATCGTCCAGGAGCACGATAGGGTTGTCATGGAAACCGTCCTGCTCTGGCTACTGCTGGCCGAGGCGCTGGTGCTGCCCCACTTCCTGTGGCTGATGTCCAAGCGGTACCGGCACGCGGCCGTCTACACGTGGAGGGTGTTCGTGCTCAGGGACAAGGGCGCGCGGGAAGAAGGTCAGCCATGTTGGTGACGTCATGTGCACGTGATCTTTGATACTAGGCCCAGTTTTGTTGATCCCAAATTTTGTTACGTCATATTATAGTTATCTCCCCAAACCCTCATTAGGAAGTGTTTTCTTTGCAAATACCAATTAGTATTTTAGTGTTTTTGTTTTGTTTTGCCAATACTAATTGATATCGACTATAATTAAAACATGAATTAAATTTTGGGTGTTTGGGGGGAAGGGGGGGGGGGGGGGGGGGGGTTCAACTATGTTGAATGTAAACATAGATTAAATAAACATAGATTATACAAAATGCAAATTATTAAAATACGTTAGTTATCGACAACTAGTTATTTTAGGAACAATTTTCGAACTTGTCATTTTGTTGTTCTTATTTCCTAATTTGTAGAACACTTATTACTTGTTATTATTAATGTCTATATATTTTAATGAAAGGCAAAATTTTAACCGGTGATTGTTTTGAAACTGTTGTATTATTACTTCTTGTTGGCTTGGGTTTTGTTTTAGTAAATTACAAAAAAAAGGGTGGATCACTGAGCCTAACCTTGGACCGGATTAGCTTTCAGCAGTAAATAACGATAAGCCGTGTTTCCGGTAAAATTATCCCAGCTTTCAAACAGATAAGAGCAATGTTATTCCGTTATTTATTAGCTATTTCCTTTCAACGAACGGAGACAGCTTAATCGATATTCCGGGTACTTTTTCGAAACAGAAAAAAAACAGCTTTAATGTGGAAGTTAGTTGGTGGTGATAGTGGTTGGGGGGAGATGGGGGATGGGGGTGGGGTGTGTGATGGTAGTGGTGACTAAGTTGTGATAACGTAACTTAGGAAGTGGGATCTGAATTTTTCTTTTTGTGACTTTGTGAGGAAAACGAAGGGGGGGGGGGGGGATAACTAGGGCAGTGTTTCTTCCAGACTTTTTTCTCCCGAGGGGGGGGGGGGCACTTGACATTTTCGGGAGGGGCGGTAGACTTTCTTCGGGGGGGGGGGGGCGGACACTGTTAAAAGTATATATTTTCTATATAAATTATATAAATTTCATTTCGTTCGGGGGGGGGGGGGGGCGGTAAAAAAATTTCGTGGGGGCAAAGCCCCCCCCCCCCCCCCCCCCCCGAAGAGAAGCCTGGAAGAAACTCTGAATTAGGGAAACAAGCATAACAATAATGGTCGAGCTTTGAGCGACTACGCTGATAATGAAGGGTAACGCTGAATACTAGCGGTTCGGTTTGGGGTACGGCTAATCAAAATGTAGCAAATTGTTAACAATGACTGGATGTTTACGTTCATGTTCTTGTTTTGTTGTGAACAGATGCTGCAGCGTGCAGTCTCCAGTCGTACAGATTTGTGAACGGAAACATGAACATTAGGTCACAGACTAATGGAGTTGGGCAGGTAATGGTGGCTTCTCTGGCACTCCAGGCATTGTAGTGAGGAATTGTAGGGAGGGCATTGTAGGGAGGACATTGTAGGGAGGGCATTGTAGGGAGGGCATTGTAGGGAGGGCATTGTAGGGAGGGCACTGTAAGGAAAGCATTGTTGAGGGCACTGTAAGGAGGGCATTGTTGAGGGCATTGTAAGGAGGGCATTGTAAGGAGGGCATTGTTGAGGGCATTGTAAGGAGGGCATTGTTGAGGGCATTGTAATGAGGGCATTGTTGAGGGCACTGTAAGGAGGGCATTATCTCAGACAAAATATCTCAGACAAAATATATCAGACAGAATATCTCAGACAAAATATCTCAGACAAAATATCATACGGACAAATGGTCTCTTGAAAAATGATCTCAGGACAAATGATCTCAGGACAAATGATCTTAGGACAAATTATCTCAGGACTAATGATCTCAGACAAAATATCTCAGACAAAATATCACACGGACAAATGATTTAAGACAAATGATCTCAGGACAAATGATTCAGGACAAATGATCTCACGACAACTGATCCCAGGACAAATGATACCAGGACAACATATATCAGGACAAATGATATCATGTACAAAATATCTCAGACAAAATATCTCACGGCAAAATTTTAAAAGTATATAGGATAATTCTGTCTGTGAGATCATTTGTCCGTGAGATCATTTGTCCGTGAGATCATTTGTCCGTGAGATCATTTGTCCGTGAGATCATTTGTCCTTCAAATCTTCAAGAGACCACCCAGTTCTTTCTGGTGCAAAATCTTTCAATTTTTAATGCTCATCAAATGCAGTTTTATAGGCTAACTGTAACTCATATGTTGATTTAACTTCACTTGTTCAAGATCCTGAATCTTTTCAATTAAAGATGATATCCCCTTATTATGGATATCTTATTATCTTTTAATGGTTCCATCCTTCAACTCTCTTCGTTATCAGCTTGTGAAATCTTTTGATCAAATCTAATGGATTAGCATGACCGTTGAATCATTTGGATCAGCAGCTAGTTCACCAGAAGGAAAATTGGCCAATTACTTCGTGTGTGTGTATGTATGTGTGTATGTGTGTGTGTTTGTGTGTGTATGTGTTTGTGTGTGTACCTCAGACATGTAATTTACAGCCTCAGTTGGCCTTGCCATGGTCGCTTTACTATTAGTTTTCATCATCGGCTTGTGAGGACTGATATAGATTTACAATAGTAATACTTCTTTCTGACTTCTACTTTCATTCATTTAAGATGGTTTACTTATACATAGATCCAATACAAAACGCCTAATCACAATTTTATTTCTAAATCTGAAAATGCAAATGTGTAATTAAATGTTGATTCAAGGGATTTTTTTTATCGGCGTGGTGGGTTGAGGGTGTTTGAGTTTATCAGTAGAGCCGAAATAAATTTTGTATTAAAGAAAAATAATATTCTAAAAATGATATACTAAGCAGTCAAAAGAAACAGTTGCACACCCAATTTTCGTCTCTTTTTACTTTCTCCATTATATTACTACAACTACAATTTATGTTCATGTCTTTGAAACTGCATCAAACTAGAAATTAAATTGTAATTATCATCTTTATTGTTTAAATAAATTTATTTAAAATACAACTACTGAGGGAGAAGTACTATATTACTTAATTTACACCACAGACTATTTCAAGTAGATTCACTAATTAGCATTACTCATACTTCACGTGTTTATAAATTAGGTATTTATTTCAGCTAATGGTTTTCTATTTGAAATAGAGTAAAAAAATATTTAAAAATACAAGCAGTATAGATTTTAACAATCACTCATATAATATTTAATATTTACATTTTTTGACTAAAAAATAAATGCACATAATTTATGTTTATCTTACAATTAAGATTCTCAGTAGTGTTTGAAAACACCAATGTCGATATTTTCCCTTGCTTATTTTAAATTTATACATGGGAAATAATTTTGAATTTATACATGTATTATTTCATAAATATTCATTGATAAACAATTATCAACATTTTTCAACTTTGCCAAGTGTCAACATTTATCAAACTGTTTATATTATAATTTACAATGTAATTGGTATATTTGTTTATAGACATTTGAGTCACTAAAACTATTCGATTTGAATTGTTGTTTTTTTAAACACTAGATCTAGTATGAATAGACTTTGCATTTAGAAATAGAGCAGGAAAGGGTATTAAAAATTTAAATATGTTTTATGAATGTTAAAAATGGTGTTACTTTTAGCAATCATACATTAATATTCTTTATTATATCGACCAACTGACCAACCAACTGTTTGACCAACCAACCGACTAACCAACCCATTGACTGACCAACCAACCGACTGACCGACCGACCGACTGACCGACCGACTGACCGACCGACCGACTGACCAACCGACTGGCCGACTGACTGACTAACCAACCGACTGACCGACTGACCAACCGACTGACCGACTGACTGACCAACCGACTGGCCGACTGACTGACTAACCAACCGACTGACCGACCGACTGACCAACCGACTGGCCGACTGACTGACTAACCAACCGACTGACTGACTAACCAACCGACTGACCGACTGACCAACCGACTGACCGACCGACCGACTGACCAACCGACTGACTGACCAACCAACCAACCAACCAACCAACCAACCAACCAACCAACCAACCAACCGACCGACCGACTGACCGAATGACCAACCGACCGACCGACCGACTGACCAACCAACCGACTGACCAACCAACCGACAGACCTACCGACTGACCGACCGATCGACTGACCAACCAACCGACTGACCGACTGACCGACTGACCAACTGACTGACCAATCGACTAGCCAACCGACCGACCGACTGACCGACCGACTGACCAACCGACTGACCGACCGACCGACTGACCAACCGACTGGCCGACTGACTGACTAACCAACCGACTGACCGACTGACCAACCGACTGACCGACCGACTGACCAACCGACTGGCCGACTGACTGAAAACACCAATGTCGATATTTTCCCTTGCTTATTTTAAATTTATACATGGGAAATAATTTTGAATTTATACATGTATTATTTCATAAATATTCATTGATAAACAATTATCAACATTTTTCAACTTTGCCAAGTGTCAACATTTATCAAACTGTTTATATTATAATTTACAATGTAATTGGTATATTTGTTTATAGACATTTGAGTCACTAAAACTATTCGATTTGAATTGTTGTTTTTTTAAACACTAGATCTAGTATGAATAGACTTTGCATTTAGAAATAGAGCAGGAAAGGGTATTTAAAAATTTAAATATGTTTTATGAATGTTAAAAATGGTGTTACTTTTAGCAATCATACATTAATATTCTTTATTATATCGACCAACTGACCAACCAACTGTTTGACCAACCAACCGACTAACCAACCCATTGACTGACCAACCAACCGACTGACCGACCGACCGACTGACCGACCGACTGACCGACCGACCGACTGACCAACCGACTGGCCGACTGACTGACTAACCAACCGACTGACCGACTGACCAACCGACTGACCGACTGACTGACCAACCGACTGGCCGACTGACTGACTAACCAACCGACTGACCGACCGACTGACCAACCGACTGGCCGACTGACTGACTAACCAACCGACTGACTGACTAACCAACCGACTGACCGACTGACCAACCGACTGACCGACCGACCGACTGACCAACCCATTGACTGACCAACCAACCGACTGACTGACTAACCAACCGACTGACCGACTGACCAACCGACTGACCGACCGACCGACTGACCAACCCATTGACTGACCAACCAACCGACTGACCGACCGACCGACTGACCGACCGACTGACCGACCGACCGACTGACCAACCGACTGGCCGACTGACTGACTAACCAACCGACTGACCGACTGACCAACCGACTGACCGACTGACTGACCAACCGACTGGCCGACTGACTGACTAACCAACCGACTGACCGACCGACTGACCAACCGACTGGCCGACTGACTGACTAACCAACCGACTGACTGACTAACCAACCGACTGACCGACTGACCAACCGACTGACCGACCGACCGACTGACCAACCGACTGACTGACCAACCAACCAACCAACCAACCAACCAACCAACCAACCAACCAACCAACCAACCGACCGACCGACTGACCGAATGACCAACCGACCGACCGACTGACCAACCAACCGACTGACCAACCAACCAACAGACCTACCGACTGACCGACCGATCGACTGACCAACCAACCGACTGACCGACTGACCGACTGACCAACTGACTGACCAATCGACTAGCCAACCGACCGACCGACTGACCGACCGACTGACCGACCGACTGACCGACCGACCGACTGACCAACCGACTGGCCGACTGACTGACTAACCAACCGACTGACCGACTGACCAACCGACTGACCGACCGACTGACCAACCGACTGGCCGACTGACTGACTAACCAACCGACTGACTGACTAACCAACCGACTGACCGACTGACCAACCGACTGACCGACCGACCGACTGACCAACCGACTGACTGACCAACCAACCAACCAACCAACCACCCAGCAACCGACCGACCGACTGACCGAATGACCAACCGACCGACCGACCGACTGACCAACCAACCGACTGACCAACCAACCGACAGACCTACCGACTGACCGACCGATCGACTGACCAACCAACCGACTGACCGACTGACCAACTGACCAACCAAACAACCGTCTGACCAACCAACCAACCGACTGACCAACTGACCGACTGACCAACCAGCCAACCGACTGACCAACCAACCGACCGACTGACCAACCAAACAACCGACTGACCACCCAACCGACTGACCAACCAACCGACTGACCAACCAACCGACTGACCAACCAACCGACTGGCTAACCGACCGACTGACTGACCAACCAATCGACTGACCAACCAACCAACCAACCGACTGGCCAACCGACTGACCAACCAACCAACCGACTGACCAACCAAAGAACCGACTGACCTACTGACCAACCGACCTACTGACCAACCAACCAACCGACCAACCGTTGTGTTGCATGACCAAACCTCTGTCTTTTGCATGTGATATCAAATGATGGCCGTTTCAAATTTTCATAGCTTACAAACAATTTAATATACTCTTTGAAAGTGAATATTGTTATAGATTTTTCATTTCTTATTCTGCCAACGACTGTTTCAAATTTTTAATGTGCCACTCACTACACATGAAATATTATTCTCGCTGCTGATGTAATCGAATTCTCCACTCAATGAAAGTCACATTATCACAGTGGCGTAGCGAGGTCGGGTGTCACCCGGTGCGGCACTTAATGGTGTCACCCCCCCAGAGGCATAGAGACCCTTCCCAGGGACAAACTTTCAAATTTTCGATTTGCACCCCCCCCTTAAACTTTCGATTTGCACCCCCACCCCCTCAACTTTTTCTCTATATATTTTGCTATTTTTTGCCTTGGTGTCACCCCCCTAAATGGTGTCACCCGGTGTGGTCCGCACCCCCGCCCCCCCCTCGCTACGCCCCTGCATTATCACGTGTAAAAGAAAAGGAGGGGGGGGGGGGACAACAGGTGGGGTGTATGTGTCTCTAGTTTAAGTAAAGTAAAAAAAAAAACAACGTAGGAATCTACTACGGGTTTTTTTTTTTACTTTCTCGTGTACAAAGTAGATCTATAGAGGAAGTATCGTAATTGTGCAAAATCGAGATTTTTTTACAAATCTCAACGTTTTACACTTCCCTGAGTCGGAAAAACATAGTTTTGCAATTTTGTCCGTATGTCTGTGTGTCTGTATGTGTGTGTGCGTGTATGTGTGTCTGTGAACACAATAATTTGAGTACCGTTACAGCTAGTTTTTATTTATTTATTTAAAATAAAACAACTTTATTTAATTATTTGATGCATTTCTTAGTAGTTGCTTTAAAAAAAAATATCATTAGATCAATTATTTTTTTTCCGTTTTTGATCCTTACATTAACCACATCCTCTGCCATCCCACAGGCGAACGGCCACGCGACCAGAGGCAGCCCACACGACCACCAAGAGCTGGAGGACAGCCTCGAGTACCACCAGACCACCAACGGCAACGGCCGGAGCTTGCAGACCCCAGGCCAGGCCCAGTACATCATGACGACAGACCTCGATGACGGCATGACAGTCGTGACGCAGCTCACGTCAGGCGACCCGCGGGCCAACGGTCAAGGTCACGTCGCCATGAATAACCTTGACCCCGCGGAACCGACGGTGCGGAAAGCGCCGCCGAAAAAATCTCCGAGAACGAACATTCCGGTTTCAAATAAGACACCGGACAGTTCAAAACAACCGGAAACCGTGAGTCCTGCTGCCGGATCCGGCTCTGAAGTTAGCAGATCCACATCTACCAGACAAGAATGGAAAGAGCGAATGAGGAAGAAATATCTCCCTACCCTGTTCGTGGACGAGCATCCAACCCAACCGGATGCAGGTGAAGTAGATTTAAGCGACGTTGAATACGTTCAGTCAGGTGATGCGGTGCTGGAAACCCATGCGGGTCACGTGACCCGTCTCCCCACCACCGCCAGCGTCGACAGCACGTACTACATGTCCAGCGACTACCACTACAACTACCTCAGCGAATCGATACCGCCCAGGTTGAAACACTCCGCCACGTACGAAAGCGAAGCAGACGACGACTTGTACGAGTCACGTGACATAGGGGACATACTGGATAAATCTGGACAACTTGAAAGCTACGGGTTCGAGACCCACAACCTGGATAACAAATTTCCAGAAGTCTCACTTGACCAGTCTTTTCCTGAAACGGAGGTTCAAAACACTCAGGAAGAAAAAGGAAAACTTAACAACCAAGCTAATGTTGACGTTATAGGGTTATATTTTGAAGATTCGACTCCAGATATTCTCGAAGAATCAGTCTCCCATGCCATTAAACCCGAGATTCGACGCGATAATTACAGAAAGTTTTTATCGATTACAAATCTTCAAATTTCCAGCGTGGATGTTGATGAAGACATGGATCACGTCCCGAAAACAGAACCAATCACCACGCAAAGGTTCAATATTTCTGAGGAGGATTCTGTAACTTCAACGGCCAGGTTAGGAGGCAGGGTACCCCAGGAGGAGAGTAAGCCACAAATGGTTGGTGAAGTGGATAGTAAAGTATCGGCAATCGGGCAGGACAGTGAGATGTTGGCAATAGTGCAGGACAGCGAGGTTTCTGAAGTAGTGCAAGAGGAGAACGAGGTTTCGTCAGTGATAGCGGAAAGCAATCTGCAGGACAGCAAGCTACAGGCTGTAGTGCAGGACAGTGAGCTGCAGGCATTAGTGCAGGACAGTGAGCTGCAGGCAGTAGTGCAGGAGTATGACGAGATGCAGACAGTCAGTGGCAGTGAGATGCTGCGTCTCAAGATACAATCTCGGCGTGTCGCCGCGGCCATGGAGTCGACAGACGAAACGTCTTCCAGCGAAGACGATTTCGACTCCAACACCGCGTCTTTAGAAGAGATAGCTCCCTCTAAAGTATCCGGAAGAGAATCCCATGTGGATCAGATTATTCCCACAAACGTAGCCGTAACGGAGTCGAACAACGATTTATATTCGGAGATTGAAAGCGAGGAAAGACGTTCGGAAAATTTTGTCCATAGACAGCAATACAGATTTTCAAATAGCCCAGATTTAAACAAAACTTACGATGGAAATTCTAGTCAATATTTAAACAAAGATAATATTAACGAAACTAGTCATAATTTAAACAGAAGTAACATGAACAAAAATAATCGTAGTGATGTCTTTACGTACAAAACTAGTCCAAAATCTGTTAGGAATCCTAATCTAAAAAATATTGTAACGAATCCATTTTTACGAGAATCGTTTGAAGTAGCTTCTGAAAGATCTCAAGCATCAAATAAGTCGCAGCTTCAAACCAACCCGTTTCTCACGGAGTCCTTCGATGAGGTTGCACATAACTCCCAGCAGCTGAATCCTTTTCTAAAATCTGATGAAGTGTTTGCGTTTGGACCAGTGTTAAACGACCAGAATACCACCACAGGTGGCAAAACTTTAAATAATGGTGTACTATCAAAACCATTTCCGGGTCGAAGGTCAGCCAGACATACCTCATCTGAAGACGAGCTCAATTCTATTTTTAGCGACAGCTCCATGGACAGCCACCGAAGTGAATCGTTCGATTCGATCAGCTCTCTCGACAACGTGATCGACAGTCAACACGAGATCGATGATGCTAAAATGTCGGTGACATTTGAACCGTACGGCGAAAGACACCCCGCGTGGATGGAGAATTCGATTAGCGCCACAAGCCCTAGAACAGACGACTCAGGTTCCAAATTTCGTATCACCATCAGCGACGAAGTATCCAACGACGTGGTGGAATACGATTTAGATTCTGTCAATATCGGAGTACAAAGTCCGATATCTAATCAAGGGATGAATAGAAGTCAATATTTGACCAACACGCCAAATTTAGTGCAGTATCGATTCGATGATGATATCGAGCGCGGGTTCGAAGCCGCCTTAGCCGCGGATTATCTTGTACATAGCAACTTGTATACTGGAATCTGTTTCGAGGCTATACAGGAAGAGACGGAGGATTCCGAAAGTCTGGCTAGTCTGGATGAAGCGGAGAACGTCTTCAAGACGCATGCGGTAATGTCAAGGCCGTCTTCAAGGGCAAGCGTCGTAGGATGGGCGGAAGAAAAGGGGTCGAAAAATAACGAATTTCTGGACAGTTTCAACGACATTCAGGACACTACGTGGAGCTTTCCAGAACGGACATCCGCCGATGGTAGCGATGACGTCACCACCGGTCAAACTGCGTCTTGCACCCAGGGCAGGCCGGTCTCCGACCCCTGGGGTTTTAACGCCAGGTCCTACCCAGCAGACGACCAACAATCCACCGACTCGCTGGACGATATAGAGCTCGCAGACGACATTGTCACATCCCTACCCTCACATTTGAAACAAACGGAATTCACCCCGTGGGCGCAGGGGCCGGTCAGGTCACCCAGCCTCGATTTGAACTTCGATTCGGATTTCTCTTTAGAAGATTACTCGGAAACCTCCCGACCTTTCACCCCTGACGTCACTGACGCCAAACTCCCTTCGGCTTATTTTTAGTTATTTCCATCCTCAGTATTAACTGTTAGTGTTTTCTGTTTACTTCATAAGCATTCCATTAAGTATTTAAAGCAGAGCATATGTTAATGATTTTAATTTTTTTCTAATTTTTAAACCAAGCATAAATCCATTGTAAAAATGTAGGTATTGCATAACTAATGAGACATTCTGACGTGTTTGAACTAATTATAGATAAACCTTCAGATTTTTATTTTATTTTGAGACTACATTAATTCACATGTTATTATAATATTTAAAATATTTAAATCTACGGTGGGGTGAAGAGAAACGAATTCAGCATTTAATATATGTACATAACACAGTACCATGGTCAGTGATTGCTTGATTACCTGGTCGATCATTATGGCTTGGGGAAGGGGGAGGGTAAAGAAACAGGTGGGTGGGGTAATTATATTGGTCACACTGTAAGATGGTGGTCTATTTTATGAATATGTTAATGTAATTAGATGGGGGGGGGTGCTGTGCTAGGGTTGTGGGTTGAAGACAATATCATAATCTTTTTAAAACAATGTGATATAAAGTTGAATCTATTTTTCAGAGGATGAAGATTTTAGAATGGGAGTACAATCATCATGTGAATATGTTTTATGTCAATATCATACGCATCGTTCTCAAACTGTCTCAATCTTTAAACATTGTTTTAATACACACAATCCTGTCTCACTCTCTCACAAGCTGACAAACTCACACACACACTGGGCACACACAAACTGGTCACACCCCCCCCTCCCAAGAGGGACCCAAGCCTACGATTTCTCTCAGCTTCCCTTGTCTAATCTCTCTCTACTGTCTCCCTCTATGAACAAAGTTATCTTGCCGTGTGACGCCTCTCACCCTGACGACCCTGTCCCTATAGTCTCCACTAGCGGCGCACTCACACACACCGAGACGAGATTTGTTGCAAACATTTTTGTTTACAATTTATTTCAGTTTTCTTACTGCCCAGACGAATATTCACCTTTAAAAATGTAAACAGTGTTTTGTTTCAGCACACAGAACACCGTCACACCGTCACTCACTCATCACATACCACAACATTCCCCCACATGACATATACACACTCATCACATACCACAACAATCCCCCACATGACATATACACACTCATCACATACCACAACAATCCCCCACATGACATATACACACTCATCACATACCACAACATTCCCCCACATGACATATACACACTCATCACATACCACAACATTCCCCCACATGACATATACACACTCATCACATACCACAACAATCCCCCACATGACATATACACACTCATCACATACCACAACATTCCCCCACATGACATATACACACTCATCACATACCACAACATTCCCCCACATGACATATACACACTCATCACATACCACAACATTCCCCCACATGACATATACACACTCATCACATACCACAACAATCCCCCACATGACATGTACACACTCATCACATACCACAACAATCCCCCATATGACATCAAACAATACAACATTTAACCTCTTCACATAACATGCAACATACCTTTCACAGTCATCACACATTACACTATTCACCCTCATCCCAATACAGAACATTCAACCTCACCCCACAACACATCATTCTGTGTCAACACACAATACGCCATTCTCTCTCAATACACCCTTCTATTCAACCTCAATCCCCAACATACCATTCTCTTTCATCACACACTACACTACTCACCCTCACCACATCACATATTACACCATTTGCACACATCACACATCACACAACACACCATTCACCCTCTTCAAACAACACACCATTAACCCACACCACACATCACCCTGATTACCACCACCACCATCACACACCATTGATTATCACCCCGCCCCACCCTACAAAGTGACTTAATGTACAGTGACCTCACGAATGTATCACACTTTTGAGCCTTGTCTTCATGCCTTGTCTTATAAGTATCGTCATGTTAACATCATTAGCCTTAATTGTTATCTTTAAATTATGAAATAAAAATGTCAGCATATATTATTGTGATTGGAAATTTAATTAATTAATCAATCGAGATGTAGTGGTCGGACAGGTTATTGATTTATTGTACATTGAGCTGCAAAAATATTGATATTCTTAGGAAGAATTTGTTGAGCGAGGTATATTATGTCGCTGTTTCTATGCAGGATAGCGTGATATTGGCTCGTTTGGAAGAAAAGTGGACGGACAAGCTGTATCGAGGTGTATCGATGTTTTTGTTCACTGTGTAACGACGATGAGAGTGGGAGAGAGAGAGAGAGAGTGGGGGGGGGGGGGTTAAGATAGTGTGGTTACACTTTGGCATTTTAAACTTAATTTTAGCCATATGTATTTTAAATATTTTTTTTTTTTGCTGGGAGTGCAAATAATAATGAAACGTAGGCAGCAACACCCCTCCCCTCGCTAGAACTTATATTTCCACTAACACCTTCTCAGTAGCGCCTAAGTCAACCTCCATGTCTCACCCACTCATGCGGCCACACCCACTTAGCAAGCACACACACACCCAGCACGCCCGCAGCGCTTAGCTTCAATAAACAAGTCATTAATATCTGAAGGCCTAATGAAGCGATTCATCAACTTGAGGTTATGTCACAACGGGGGATCAGGAAAACAAGTTGCCCGTGCTAATGTGTGTTGTGTATTGAAGCATGCGTGTTTTTTACTGTGTCGTTTTTTTGTTGGTTCGGGTTGATCTAGTGATACCGTTAGGTTAAATTAATGTTAAGACGTTAGGTCTGGTAGGCAGGGTTAGACAGGTTGTGTGATACTGGTCAATGGTACGTTGACACGGACAGTGGGGGTAGGGGGGGGGATTGTGATAGGTGAGACAAGTGGAGTAATGCGATATGGGGGTGGGGGTGGAGTAAAGAGATGGAGGGGGTGGGGCTGCTGGAATCATGTGTTAGGGGGCACAACTGGTGAAGTAATGTAGTAGGGGGGATAACTACTGGAGTCACGTGATAGGGCGGACAACTGATGGATTCGTGGATAAAACGAATGAAGTCATTCGACTGGATAAGTGAGGGTAAACTATATGACTGAGTTGAATACTGGTGTTGTTACTTGAGAGGTGTACGGACTTGTTGGATATTCGCCAAACTAGTCATGTGACTCTCGCAATACGAGTTGAGTCAGGAGGGTGTCGAGTCAGCTAGTCTAAACAGCAAAACCAAAGAGTACTACAAAGTGTTTTTTCAAACAATTTTCTCCAGTGGGCACTTAAAACTTCTGGAGGGGGAGGGGGGTGGACACTTATTAAGGTATATATTTTCTATACAGATTATATAATTTTTAATTTTTTTTCGGGGAAGGGGACGGTCTTGCTTTGGAGAGGAGGGACAGTGCACTCCCCGAAGAGATATCTAAAAGTGACTACGGTACTACTCTCTTCACGCCCTCCTATTTGTAGACTAATCTGAACCCCCATCAGCAATTCAGTAGGCAAGGTCTTTTATGATATATATATATATATATATATATATATATATATATATATATATATATATATATATATATATATACATACATACATATATATATATATATATATATATATATATATATATATATATATATATATATATATATATATATATATATATATATAAATATATATATATATATATATAAACTTATACCTTGCTTCGCTAGAATAACAATAATGGCGTAACGCCCTCACACACACACACACACACACAAAATATAACAATTTTAATGTCTTAAAATTGTGGTTTTACAATATGAGAGATGTTCAAATAGTGAACGTTTTAAGAGACCAACCCAACCGTCGCCAATAGCTGCCACTTTTTGGGATCACTTACGAGGGCTCTACACCCCCTCTCCCCTTACACCCCTGCGCTCCGCCACTGTACACGAGTATAGCTGTTGGTCGCCCGTAACTACATGTAAATATAAACACTCGATCAACAACACAACTTGCCGATATTGATTAAACGTTATAAACAATGGACGTAAAAAATTCATGGGAAGGCATTCAAAGACACGAAGTGGTACGAAATATTTATTTATTGCAGCAAATGTTTTAAAATTTCATAAAACACACCAACAAAAACTACACATATAAAAAATGATTTCTCTGCTCCACTTTAAACAAAAATTATATTCAAATGGGGAAGAGTACATTTAAAAAATGACATTTTTAGAATCTTGGATGAAACAGCAGTTGGAGGTATGGATGAAACGTGTATAAAGTATAAAGGTTTGTTATCATTCATGTTTTGTGCTGACGTACAAGAAAATCGCAGTTACACATAAATAAATTTATACATTTGTTTTCTGCTTTTTAAGACGAGTAAGAAAAAATGTTTCTTGATTGCATTTTGGACAAAAACTAAATAATGGCAACCTGCAATTAGCCCGTTCCGACCCCACCTCCCCAATTATATTAAACAAGTAAACAACAGTAAACATTTTTAAAAGTACAAAAAAATTCTTACAGGTCATAAATAAAGTATCAACATCTTGAATTTACTATCGATGTTTTACAATTTAACTCTAGTAATGGAGGACGTACATAAAAAAAAAAAATTAACGAGAAGTCAGTTAATGTGCTGTTTCAATTGTGCTTTGACGAAAATACCGCTTAGGCGAGGAAGACAGTGGAAAATAGCTTGCCGGAAATTGCCGGTTTTATTGCAGCCGGCATGGTTTGGAAGTGAGAGAAACAGCAGCTGCCTCTAGATTTGCTGCAGTCAAAACCAATGGTTGAATAGAATGTTTTAGAAACTAATGGTTCGATGGAAAAACTTTAGAAACTAATGGTTAAATAGATTCTTTAAGAAACGAATAGTTAAATTGAGTGTTTTAGAAACTTATGGTTAAATAGAATTTATAAAATGATGGTTAAATAGAATTCAGAAATAATTGGTTAAATAATATGTTTCAGAATCAATAATTAAATAAAATATTTTTAGAAACTAATGGTCAAATTGAATGTTTCAGTAACTAATGGTTAATGGAATATAATTAGAAATTAATGGTTGGATGGAAAAACCTAGAAACCAACCAGTAAAGAAGTTATTGAATTAGTTTAATTTTTGTTTTAGAAACTAATGATTAAATAGAATGTCTTAGAAAGTTATAGTAGATCAAATGCTTTAAAAACTGAGAAATAACTTTTAAGTTAAAAATAATCAAGGTATAAATAGATTCAAAAGACCGACATTAATTATTAAATACATAAAGCTGAATTGTAATAGTATGTGATGGTAAAAAAGCAACATTACAATTAAAAATGGTCAAACTTCCGCAGAATGAAAGTTATTTCCCTTTCATGCACGATTTGGTTTTCTCATTCACAGAAACTATGTGGTACAAAACGCTTTACCCAAGCCAGTTAGTCTCAGGCGCAACCAGTTTTACATCCAATTGGTCTTACGTAGAGCAATTTGATCTGGCCAAAACTCTCATACACCAAGCAATTAGTCATCCCTTGACAGTCGATCACACAAAGATGTTGTTCATAAATGATGTCAAGTTTTTTCTTCGTCTATTTTTAACCTCCCATCTCTCAACCCTTCCACCGTCACTAAACAGCCTAGAAAAAATGTCAATTCAGCCGCCCTCAATTTTTTCCCTAATTTGCAATTTCTTTTGTCATAAATAGTAATTTATGTCTAACATAATTGGAGTTGTTTCCCTTTCACAAAGGGATATAACCTATACATAACGAAACAAAACTACTGTTCTAATAAAGTTAAATTTGTCGAGTTATCGTTAACAAATATTTATTTCTGCAGATTTCAATTTTAGCCATTCTATGTCATCGAAAGGTGCATTGATTCCTTTTTTATTTGAAATACTATAATAACATAAAATGTTAAAAAAAAATTGCTAAGTAGCAACTACAATTAAGCGAAGAAAACTTTTTCAAATTACTCAAGTGCGAAGAAACACTTTTTCACATTTTCCAACACCCCCTCTTCACACATCGTCACAACCCTCACTTCACACATCGTCACAACCCCAACTCACACTCACAGACTTCAAGATAGTATCATCATTTATGGACGACCCCTACACAAGTGTATTAAATTAGCACAAGAGCGCAGTTTGTCATCATATTTTACATATACACAAACAGCACAAAAATATTTAAGGGCACATGTTCTTGAACTGCCTACCAAATGGTACGAATATCAGAAGACACCTACACGATTTTATTAATAAGATTAGGTAATTAAATACATTTGTTTAATTATAGTTTACCTCTGATAACACAATAATCCACACAATAATCCACACACGAATCCACGCACTAATCCACACATCCACGCACTAATCCACACACAAATCCACTAATCCACACCAGGATCCTTGATCTTGGATCTACATTTTTACACAACCAATGGGATCACGATATATAAGTGTCTGTAGTTTCTAGTGGTTGTTCTAAGGTCAAAGTACAGAAGCAATAAGCGGTCTTTAGATATAGTACCTCGGTAGTTTTATAGAGGGAAAAGTATTACAAAGAGAATGTTAATAAATTATTTATAAATGTCTAATGACAAAGATAGTGAATTGAATCTTCCCAGTTTTAGCTGTGACGAAATTGATTGAACTTTAAAAAAAAACATTTAAAATTTATTAAATTAAAAAAAATAGTTTGAATTTTTTAGAAAGCCAGAAAAAAATGACAGGGATTGTGATAGAGAAAAGGTAGACTTAAAAAATCGAACTCAGTACCTTCAAAGATATAAACCTAGCGTTTTACTGTTCTACCACTCCATTCGTGAAAGTAAAGTAAATGTTCATATTATCGCAATTTTCTTTTTACACGGCTGATTTTATAGGCATATTTAATTCTAACAAGCTGTCGCTACTTTAAAGACCACTTCACTCGAGGACCAGTTACTTGGTTCCTCATGTGTATTTCTCGCTTGAAGCTTGTGTTGTGAATGGTGGTATGGTGTGTACACCACACACCACACACGTATTGCTGCCTGTTGCTAGGTTACGGGGTAAATATGTTACGTCACAACGTTTTAGGTCTTCTTTAAAATCAATGAATGTCTGTATTGATCGAGTTGATAACGCAAAAAATTTAGTAGAAAAAGAGAGGATTTTTTTTAGTGAGGATTTAAAACATTAATATCACATTTTAATAACATGATAAAATGGAAGAGTATAAAAACGAAATACTGTTTTCTCGGAATTTGTAATTGGTGTAATAACCATAGATTTAAAAAATGTACAAATCTGTAGTTTACATCTCACATAACGTTAAGCTCACCGTACGTAATTTACATACGTTGATTATTCTCATTTCAGATACAACGCCAACTTATATTTTCATTTCATCACGTACATAACTTCTTCATACTCAATACAAACACAATGCTATGGAACACATTTTGTTACATCATTACAATTATTGTCCATTACTCAATACACAATACATTCAGAATGCTAAGGAACACACATTCGTTATATCATTACATAACTTGTCCACACTCAATACAAACACAATGCTATAGAACACATTTTCGTTACATCATTACAGATATTGTCCATACTCAATACACAATACACACAGAATGCTACGGAACACATTTTCGTTACATCATTACAGATATTCTCCATTACTCAATACACAATACACACAGAATGCTGAGGAACACACTTTCGTTATATCATTACATACCTTGACCACTACTCAATACAAACAATGCGATGGAACACATTTTTGCTACATCATTACAGATATTGTCCATTATTCAATACAAACGCCAAGGAACACATCTTCGTTACACTTCGTACAGAACTATTTCCCCCACAGTACAACCAAAATGCTAAAAATAATGTCAAACTATTATTTTGATCGTGACGGAGACTGTGGCGCCGATCCCGTGCCCTTGATGCCCTGCATGCGGTCCATCTGCTGGGACAGCAGACGTGACGTCTCGTCCAGTTTCCGGGTCAGCGTGATGACCTTGTGCTCGAAGACACGCTCCATCTGGATCCTCTCAGAGTCCATCCGTGCAAGGATCTGCAGCTTGGCTTCGTCTAGCATGTGGGCGTACTTGTCACCCTGGGGGATAAACGCCGTGTTAAAAACAAACTGTAACACGTGTTAAACACCAATGGTAATACGTGTTAAACACAAATGGTAATACGCGTTAAACATAAATGGTAATACGCGTTAAACACAAATGGTAATACGCGTTAAACAAAATGGTAATACGCGTTAAACACAAATGGTAATACGTGTTAAACACAAATAGTAATACGTGTTAAACACCAATGGTAATACGTGTTAAACACAAATGGTAATACGCGTTAAACACCAATGGTAATACGTGTTAAACACCAATTGTAACACGTGTTAAACACCAACTTTAACACCGTGTTAAACACCAATTTCAACACCGTGTTAAATACCAACTCTAACACCGTGTTAAACACCATTGTAACACCATTCTAAACATCAGTTATAACACTATAATAAACACCAATTTTAACACCAATTCAAACGTCATGTTTAACTCATCTAAGTTAGAAAACTTCAATCGACTTCTACCTTGCAAATTCTTCAATTAATAAAGGCTATAGAAGCAAATCCTGAAACACAGGCTGTCAATGGTCCTTATGTCACACAATTTGTTAACACGAAATACTCAACTGTGTTGGAGGAACTCCCCTTCAAAATTTCAATAAAACACGAAAAAGAGCGCAAGTAAAAAAAAACCCAATCTACCTCTGTTGTTTTCCTGGAAGAGAATTCCACAAATTTCTCCAGGTGATCTTTCTGTAAGACGTGGCTCTTGACACCCTCAGTCTTGACGCCATCCACCTCCTTGTCCAGCCGCATCAGCTTCATCTGGAGGTCGTCCAGACGTTTGTCGACCTTGGCGCCAAGTCTTTCAATCAGACGTCGCATCGTCTCCTCACTCGAGGCTAGAGGGGAGACAACATTTCTTGACAAAAGGAAAGCATGGGAAACAAAATATGTTGAGAAAACTTTAAGCAAAGCAAAGGAAACAAAATATGTTGGCAAAACTTGATCTTTTAGCAAGAAACAAAGTAGGTTGACGAAACTTGACAACCAGTGCAATGGAAAGAAAATATTTTGACAAAACGTATACAGCAGAATCAGGTAAATACTCAGGGCCCTCAGGATCCATTGGCCCGACACCATCAGCAACAATAAGACAACTTTCCGCCAATGAAGAAATTAAGAAAAGAAGATGGTGTTGGATAGGGGACACAGAGCGCAGACCACCTACCAATATCACCAGGCAGGAAGTGAGGTGGAACCCACATGGAAAGAGCAAAAGAGGTCGGCCAAGAAAACACCTGGAGACGGGACCTTGAGGCTGTAACTACAAAGATGGGGTACACCTGGAGTCAGGTTGAGAAGATGGCACAGGACAGAGGATTCCGGAGATCTTTGATTGGTGACCCATACCCCATCAGGGTGATGGGCAGTGATGATGATACTACTGCTGAATGACTTTGAAATAGAATATCTAATATTCGGGGGAGGGGGTGAGGGGGGGATGGGTAGTGGGTAATGACGAAAGACTTAATGTCTTACATGTTATATTGACAATGGTCTGGGCTTTCAATACATATAACGTTAGCATAATCCACTGAATATACATGTTACCTAGTAACACATAAATATAATTTTAAAAAACACTAAACGAGAAGTACAAGAGAATTTCCACTGTCGTTCAACTAAAATAATCTCTAATAATTTCTTTTTAATAAATGGGTTCAAAAGAAACAGAAATCCTAAACACCAACTTATAAAATCAAATCAAGACCAATAAATTAACAGGTTATTTCAAAACAGCAAGCGCATTAGTCCAAAATTGAATAAAATCGAAATATTAAAAACTGTGCCGAACAGGTTTAGCTGTGTTTTTACTTAAAGCCCATTAAAGGATCAAAGCGTCATGAAAACAGTTCATTTCTTAAAAGTGAAGCAACGTGAATAGATTTCAACTCACTTTTCTCTCCATCCTCTCCCTCTATCTTCATCCTCTCCACGTGCCGTACGTAACGTCTGATGAGAAGGCACATGACGTCCTACATAAGTAGCAAGAAGAATTGTTCCGTTAAATTTTTGTTTTTGTGAAGTGATTTTAGCATGCCAAATATTCATGGAAACTAGCATTGAATAAAATAGGTTGTATAAACTTATTGAAAAATGGTACATAAAAATATAAAAGATACAAGTATATTACATATTATATTACATTATATATATACATATACATATATATATATATATATATATATATATATATATATATATATATATATATATATATATATATATACATACATATATATATATAAATATATATATATATATTATATGTATATGTATATATGTGTATGTATAATATATTTAGGAGTTTTGTTTAAGAAATAAATTTTGTGTGCGATTTAGTTTTAAAAAAGGAATAGAAAGCTGACATGCCTCGCTTTAAGCAGGGTCGTAGTTAATGAGAAGAAAAAAAAAAGATTAAGAGATCATGCAAGACACTAAGGTTTAATATTATGTCTTGAAATATAACATCGTTGATATACACACTTATCAGAGATATAGTTGTTTGTTTTAGTTTACATACAGATGGTTTATATATTTAAACCGGCGTGCACAAGTTTCTTAAAGATTTGACAGTTCGTGAAGACAAAAGGATAGTTTATTTTTAGAAATTAACAAAAGAAAGTTTTGCAGACATTTAGTGATTACTAGAAGAATTATTTTCCACATGTTCGGAAAATACCGAAGACGTTATGTATACATTAAGAGAGAGTTATCCCAACACTTAGAAAGTTTACCAGAAGAAAGTTTACCTGAAGAAAATTATCCGCACACTTAGAAAGTTTATTACAAGAAGTGAACCAAACATTTAGAGTTTACCAACGAGGAATTGAGTACTCACGTTGCGCGTGTGCTTGCCTTCAATAGATGACTCACTCTTTTCTTCCTCCATGTCTTGTAGCTCTAGCATACTGCCCGTCTGGTGCCGGGATAAGTTTGGGGGTGAGTAAAGGTCATGCAGGGTTAGGTGAGGTGGGGAGGGGTCAAGGTCATATAAAAATAAAATATGAGATTGGGGAGGGGAAGGGGGGGGGGGGGGTTCAAGTCAGCACATGCTAAAGAATTGGTGTGTGTGCATAGCAAAAAAAATCATAAGAAGAAAATGATGAAATTAATTGAAGCGATGAAATAAGAAATCTTAAATATAGTCAGTAATAGATATATTAATATATATTAATTTTAAGTAATAGTATAAAAATTACGAGCTTTGTAATTTTAAAAATATCTATTCTGAAGAGCTATTTGTTTTCGCCGGAAATCGAAAGCCACGTCTCTAAACTAAATCGATCGAGTACTTGTTTTAACGAATTGAATGAATGAGTACTTCGTCCTTCGAAATGAATGGATCGAATGCTTGATCTAACGAAAATTTAATGGATCGAATGCTTAATTTTAGGAAAGGAATGGATCGAATACTTGATTTTATGAAATGAAAGGATCGAATACTTGATTTTATGAAATGAATGGATCGAATACTTGATTTTATGAAATGAATGGATCGAATACTTGATTTTATGAAATGAATGGATCGAATACTTGATTTTATGAAATGGAATGATCGAAAACTGTGTTTTATGAAATGAAAGGATCGAACACTTGATCTTATGAAATGAAAGGATCGAAAACTGGATTTACTGAAATGAATGGATCGAATACTGGATTTACTGAAATGAATGGATCGAATATTTGGCTTTACGAAATGAACGGATCTAGTACTTCGTCGTTTGAAATGACTGGATGTAACACTCGGTGTTGTGAAGTGAACGGTTGAAAGGCGTGAAACACTACCTGCACGGCCACGTATCTGACTTTCTTGCCCTCGTGCGGCAGCAGGTGCCTGAACTTTGACCTCCGACACATCCACATGATGGACTTCCACAGCAGGCGGGGGCTGGGCAGGATGTTGAAGGGGGGCGGGACGGGCGTCCCAGGCTCGATGAAAGCCAGCCAGAGCTCCGTGCGGGCAAATTTCCATTCGACGTCACGTTCATCCTGCAGGTATAGGGGATCAGAGGTCAGTTAGAGATGGGGGGTGGGGGGTGGTCAGGTGGGGGGGGGGGGGGTCAGGTAAAGAGAGTTAGTGAGGGTCGCCAGAGAGGGACAGTCATGGATGTCTGAGAGGTTTATCTAAAGGGGGTTAAGCAAAAATCAAGCGATGTAGATGGGCACGACATACATGTAATTAAGTGATGGGCAGGACATACCTGTAATTAAGTTATGAATATGACTGTAATCACGTGATGTCAATGACCTACCTGTAATCACGGGATTTAGTTGACCTACCTGTAATCACGTGACGGAGATGACCTACCTGTAACCATGTGACGTCAATGACCTAACTGTAATCACGGGATTTAGTTGACCTACATGTAATCACGTGGAGGAGATGACCTACCTGTAATCACGTGATGTCAATGACCTACCTGTAATCACGTAATGTCAATGACCTACCTGTAATCACGTAATGTCAATGACCTACCTGTAATCACGTGGAGGAGATGACCTACCTGTAATCACCTGATATCAATGACCTACCTGTAACCACCTGATGTCAATGACCTACCTATAACCACCTGATGTCAATGGCCTACCTGTAACCACCTGAGATGACATAGGTCAATGGCCTACCTGTAACCACCTGATGTCGATGACCTGTAATCACCTAATGACCTAGGTCAATGACCTACCTGTAATCACCTGAGATGACATAGGTCAATGGCCTACCTGTAACCACCTGATGTCGATGACCTGTAATCACCTAATGACCTAGGTCAATGACCTACCTGTAATCACCTGAGATGACATAGGTCAATGGCCTACCTGTACTTCCTGGAAGGTGTTGGACATGACGGCGATGAGCAGATTGAGCAGTACGACCGTGGTACAAAACACGTAGATGCCGTACAGGTAGTAGCCCACGGTACTCGCCCCGCCAGATCTGAGGTCAAGGTCACCACACGATTAGCATTGTCCAGGCACAACAAAATGTCTACACACCACCAACTTCTACACTAAACCTTCTCGGTGAAACAAATATATATTGGGACCAGTAAACACGAAAAAAAACACCCCGCAACTATTTAACTATAATTATAATTAATAATCAAAATAACGTTATACAAATAAGAATAAAATAGCAGTCAGCGAGGGTAAAACCAAAGCGAAGTTGAAATATGTTGGATGTTTTGGTATGGGGCATGGGGGAGGGGGGGGGGTGCCAATCTGAGTTACCGCACTAAATGACACCCCCCCCCCCGCCCTTGATCCTGCTGATTATTTAAACCTGAGGTTACCTTTATGGCATATTAAAACAAAAATCTTCGCCCCCCCTTTCCCACTCACCTGTCGGGGTTGTTGGTCAAAGATGTGGCGTGGAGCTGACCTTGTTCCTCGACCTTGGGATGTTCCTTGTCCCCCAGGCCGAACATGCTCCAGGTCAGGGTGGATAAGGTTGAGGTGAAGCTTCCAGAAGGAAAGAAAAATGTTAACTTTTTATCATTGGATGAAAAGTTTTAACTCATTCATACTAGATCAGATGGGTCACCGTATAAAGTACTACAAAGGAAGTAGAGTTTGTGTAAGTTTTAAATCAATAATGTCAAGCTTTTTAAAAATCAATTTTTTAATGTTTTTTTTTAATTCAGCAATTTTTACACTGTACTAAGCTTTTATTTTCAGATTGAAATTTGAGTTATTCTTATTTATAAGAGAGACTAAGATTTAAAATAAAATGAACGAGCCGACCCGCAGCGTATCATACGCCGCTATTTAGTTGTTGTATTTTCTACTTTTCAGTAATTCATAATTTGTGAATTCGACAGTACCAATGCTGCCACTGAAAATATTTGCTTTAAAACACTACCCCCCCCCCCCTTTCCCCTAACCCCCACCCTACACCTCCCCCCCCCCCCCCCCCCCCGTGAAAGCAGCCTCCTCTTAGTTATTTCTTAGTTACCTCCTGTAAGTTTAAAATCAAACTAAATTATCTGCCCCTAATAGAAACCCGGCTCTACGGCTCTACGATTTGTAAACATTTAGCTTTGTAAACATTTAGCGTGACCACAACTCACCAGACAATGTGGGGGTGGGGTGGGGGTGGTAGTGATAGTGATAGAGAGAAAGAGAGGGGACTGCAAGGAGGCGCTTGCAGCTTGTTTTCTAACGGCTCCCAGAAGAGAATTATATATATAGATTTTTTTTTAAAGTAGTCGACAATGGGAAGGCGTGGCCTAGTGGTAGAGAGCTAGACTGCTAATACTTAAGTTTCGAGTTCGAATCCGGGTTCAAGTCTGTAGAACGTCCCTGAGTCCACCCAGCTCTAATGGGAACCTAAACACCGTGAGGGAAAACAAAAGTGGCTGGGCATAGTGCTGAAACAGATGAACTCCATATTTTTCATTTTCCCCGTGTGTTTTGGGCACGAACGGGAAAACATGATTAGTCGCCTGCAACTGTATTGACACTTTCCGGAAAAGGAGTGGGGGAGACAGAAACATGCATACACCTGACGACTGACCTGTCAAAACTTTCCGGGAAAGGAGTGGTGGGAGGGGGGGGGGGGAGACAGAAACATGCATACACCTGCCCTGTGAAAACTTTCAGGGAAAGGAGTGGGGGAGACAGAAACTTGCGTACACCTGACGACTGACCTGTCAAAACTCTCCGTGTGGCACCTGCTGGGTGCGTAGAGTGCAGTGATGCCGCACGTGAAGGCCAGGATCACCAACACGAACATCCCGAACAGTTTGACTATGTCCACAACCGTGCGCCTGAAAGGAGAGAAATATTTGCGCACCGTGCGGTAATTCCCAAAAACCAGTTTCACCGCGGTGCCGCCTACACTTATGTAAACACACACACCCATACACACTCACACACACATTCATACACACACACAGTCACGTTAACGAGAAAAACTTTGTTTACAACTCCATCAGTTGAAAAAATTGTCGAGTACTTTTAAAACAAAACTGTGAATGGGTTGTACGCAAACACATCGTGTTCCTACATGTATGCCAAGCTGTTTTAACTAATACAAGCTTTCGTGTCAACAAATATGTACATTGCTTTCAAGATATTCGTGATTCGTTGTTAGTTATTAAAGATTTTTTTTAAAGATTCTAAGATTTTTTTCTAAAACTGTGATATGCGTTGCTTAATGTTTTTGTCTAGTTCTTTGTGCTTAGTGTGTGAATTTGAGGATGCGGTTGCTTAATGCAATAAGGGGGCGGGGAGAAAGGAGATGTTCGACAATTTTTTTTTTCAAGTTTGATGTTTAGGTATACAATAAGAGTTATGGGAAGGGGATTTGTCATTGACGCTGATAGAAGGTTGCTGCTCTCATTTTTTTGCTATCTGACGGGTTGCTGCTAGTATTACAGCTGAATGACGGGTTGCTGCTACTATTACTGCTATATGACGGGTTGTTTCTACTATTACTGCTATATGACGGGTTGCTGCTAGTTACTGCTATATGACGGGTTGTTTCTACTATTACTGCTATATAACGGGTTGTTTCTACTATTACTGCTATATAACGGGTTGTTTCTACTATTACTGCTATATAACGGGTTGTTTCTACTATTACTGCTATATAACGGGTTGCTGCTAGTATTACTGCCGAATGACGGGTTGCTGCTACTATTACCGTATATGAGGGTCGCTGCTTGTATTAATGCTATATGACTGGTTACTGCTAGTAATACTGTTATGTCGGGTTGCGGCTAGTATTCCTATGAGAGCGTTACCTGAAGGACACGAGCATCGTGCCCAGCGCCTCGTTGGCCGGCATGATGAAAGAAAACCTGCTCACGCTGAAGATCATCCCGAGGCTAAACAGGACGTCGGATAAAAGTTCCGGGTCTGGCACCCAGGCTGAGTCCCACACAACTGGGTCATAGAAACATGTGCAGACGTTAGAAACATGTGCAGACATGTGCAGACATTAGAATCATGTGCAGACATGTGCAGACGGTTCAAAATTATGTGCAGACATTAGAAACACGTGCAGACGTTAGAAACATGTGCAGACGTTAGAAACATGTGCAGACGTTAGAAACATGTGTAGACATTAGGAACATGTGCAGACATTAGAAACATGTGCAGACATTAGAAACATGTGCAGACGTTAGAAACATGTGCAGACTTTAGAAACATGTGCAGACATTAGAAACATGTGCAGACATTAGAAACATGTGTAGACGTTAGAAACATGTGCAGACGTTAGAAACATGTGCAGACATTAGAAACATGTGCAGACATTAGAAACATGTGCAGACACTAGAAACATGTGTAGACGTTAGAAACATGTGCAGACGTTAGAAACATGTGCAGACATTAGAAACATGTGCAGACGTTAGAAACATGTGCAGACGTTAGAAACATGTGCAGACGTTAGAAACATGTGTAGACGTTAGAAACATGTGCAGACATTAGAAACATGTGCAGACATTAGAAACATGTGCAGACATTAGAAACATGTGCAGACGTTAGAAACATGTGCAGACATTAGAAACATGTGCAGACATTAGAAACATGTGTAGACATTAGAAACATGTGCAGACATTAGAAACATGTGTAGACATTAGAAACATGTGCAGACATTAGAAACATGTGCAGACATTAGAAACATGTGTAGACGTTAGATACGTGTGCAGACATTAGAAACATGTGCAGACATTAGAAACATGTGCAGACATTAGAAACATGTGCAGACGTTAGAAACATGTGCAGACATTAGAAACATGTGCAGACATTAGAAACAGATGGCCAAGGGAAAGTAATACCCGACTGACCAACTGACCAGAGCTTATCTTACTGACCCACTGACCAGAGCTTACCCCACTGACCCGCTCACCCATTAACCCACTGACCAGAGCTTGCCCTACTGACCCACTGACCAGAGCCTACCCTACTCACCCACTGACCAGAGCTTACCCCACTGACCCATTGACTCACTGACCAGATCTTACCCTACTGACCAACTGACCCGAGCCTACCCTACTAATCCACTGACTTACTCACCCACTGACCCCTTGACCAGAGCTTACCCTACTGACATCTGACCCACTGACCGACTGACCCACTGACCGACTGACCCACTGACCGACTGACCGACTGACCTACTGACCGACTGACCCACTGACCCGAGCTTACCCTGAAAGCCGTCCGGATCTCGTGCGGTCGTACAAAACTTGGAGTGGGGGATGGCCGCGGCTTCCCTGGCCTGCTGGCATATTGGTGATGACGTCACTGACTGCTTCTTGCTGGCCAAAAGGTTGGTGATATTGTAGCCGTCCACGTAGTCCGAGTCACGCAGCTGGTTCATAGAGGTAAAGTTAAATATGACCCCCCTACTAGAGGTACAGTTAAAATATGACCCCCCTACTAGAGGTAAAGTTAAAATATGACCCCCCTACTAGAGGTAAAGTTAAATATGACTCCCCTACTAGAGGTAAAGTTAAATATGACCCCCCTACTAGAGGTAAAGTTAAATATGACCCCCTACTAGAGTTAAAGTTAAATATGACCCCCCCTACTAGAGGTAAAGTTAAATATGACCCCCCTACTAGAGGTAAAGTTAAATATGACCCCCCTACTAGAGGTAAAGTTAAATATGACCCCCCTACTAGAGGTAAAGTTAAATATGACCCCCCTACTAGAGGTAAAGTTAAATATGACCCCCCTACTAGAGGTTAAGTTAAATATGACCCCCCTACTAGAGGTAAAGTTAAATATGACCCCCCCCCTAGAGGTAAAGTTAAATATAACCACCCCTACAGCTAGAGGTAAAGTTAAAATTTGACCCCCCACCCCTACATCCGACAAGAACATGTCTAATACATTAAACAGTAAACTGAAAAGAAACTGCATTTGACATAAAAGTTGAAACAATTTAATTTTATTAAGTTTTTCCACATAGTTATTTTTTACGCACATACTTAATGTTGCAAGTTGCAAGAATGACAAATTGTTTGAAAACTGATTTCTACGTTTAACACTAAAAAGTAAATTATATCAATAAAATATCGTGGCTAATCGCTAAAAGGAATGACTCAAGTTATAGAATAACAGTATTCTTTGAAAAAGTATGTAGTAAATTACTTGTATAGCAGAATTTCGAAATACAGATTTTTTTAAAGAAATAAAACGTCCCAGAGGAGACAACTTGCTTAATAAAATTTGTTTTAAAATATTAATTTAGTTACGTCCCCTGGATCACAAACTTCGTTATAGACTTCTACCGAGTATTTTTTAACAAACGCAAGGGCAATTTAACAGATTTCTACAGGACATTCGTTAACCTGTCTACACCCTCAGTGACGTAAGATATATGATTGTGTATGCTGTTGCTTTCCCCCTCAACATTAAACTAAATAGCAGATTTAAAGCCCTTGATTTGAAGCCTACTATGTAAAACCAGTATATAAGTGGTAATATATCCCAAACTTCTCAATAGAAAATCTGTTGGCTATATTTTGTAATACGTGTTCTATAATGCGTTTGGTTATTCTAAGAACACCCCCTCCCCTCCATCACACACTGTCACAACCGCACCCCCGGGATCTGGAACTCTAATGTTGAGACAACACTTCAGAAACCCAACATTCTACGAAACAACTTTCTCAACAAGTTATGAATAAACCAAGATAATTGAAAAGAAATCAAAACAAGTTAGTAGACCAAAATGTTTTACACTCTTTGTTTGGGGAGTGAGGGCAAGAAGATGGGGGAGGGGGGGAATAGGGCTGGTAAGTAGGTCACCAAACTATTCCACGGCTCAATAAAACCTGTATGAGCCATAGAACTGGTTGGTGAACTACTTACCAGCCCTAATACGCACTCTTATGCGTAGATGCGTCTATGTCTAACTCACACAATATGTTTCAAAATGATTTCATTTGATATGTAAGATATCTGACCGTCTCTGATAAAAAAGATGATCGTTCCTATAAAACCAGATGGATGTGACAAAATAAAAGATTAGACCTGATGAAATCTGATGACAAAAGATCATACCTGATGTTATCTGATATGGATGTGATCATACATAAGATCACATCTGATGTAAACTAATATGCATGTGATCATACAAAAAATCATATCTCATGTAATCTGATATGACTGTGATCATACAAAAGAACATACAAAGATCATACAAACGATCATACAAAAGATCATACCTCATGTAATCTGATATGGATATGATCATAAAAAAGATCATACCTGAAACATCTGATATGGATATGATCATAAAAAAGATCATATCTGAATCATCTGATATGGATGTGATCATACAAAAGATCATATAATCTGATATGATCATACAAAAGATCATATAGTCTGATATGATCATACAAAAGATCCTACCTCATGTAATCTGATGGGTGTGACCAATTCCAACACAAACGAGGCCAGCAGGAAACTCAACATGGTGCTGTCAATGATGTTCCAAAACGAGGCGAAGTAGTCCCTGGCACCCGAGGCGAAGATTTGTTTACACTCCTCGTAGATCAGACCTGGGGGGAAACAAACAACAATTCTTGGACGGATTCAAGCTCGAGACTTTTGGGTTAGCAGTCTAGCGCTCTACCACTAGGCCACGCCATCCCCAACCAGGGCAGCCGCTACCTATAAGGCGAACTAGGCGGTCGCCTAGGGCGCCATCTCTAGGGTTAATCGCTATTATCAAATAATTAATAATTTTTATAAAGGAGTAGCGATCTATTTCGGCACCCAGGACAAACTATCAATTTTGCACCCCCTCCCCCTCAAAATTAGGTTTATATAGGCCTATGTTTATTCGCGTTGGTGACAATGCAACCCCACCTCTTTAATTTGGAAAGGTCTGGGCGCTTTTTACCAGCCACATTGCCTTTTTAATTTGGTGTCACATAATTGATGTAGAAAACGGTTAAATAAGTTCGTAATTTTAATTTAGTACATTTCAAACGGTTGTCTATTTTTAATAGGGCTTGTAAGTCTCGTTTTCTCTGACTTTGAATGAGAAATCTGTCCTGATGTATAAAGTTTTGTAATGACGGGGTGTTCAAATATTGTACTTGTTTGGTACATTTTGATGAATTGTTTAGATTTGGGAATAACGGCGGAAGGCTGTTGCTGATATGGTTTCATAGGTATAAAGTATCGAAGTGTTAAAGTGTCATAATTTTTATTCGGCTGTTTTGATCTAGAGGAATATGATTGGTAGTAGAGAAATGTAATTGCAAGTGATGAAGTATCGTAGTTCTGGAGTTCGGGAGTATTGATTCTTGTGGTATTAAGGTATCGAATTATATTGATTGTTAAAGTGTAGTAATAGGTCCAGTGAAACCGTTGATTGGGAGTACCGTTTGTAGAGCTTGGTGAGTTAAACGAGTTGATGTCGTAGTTCGGGAGTATCGAGTCTAGTTAAGTTTCGGTATCGATGTTTGATGTGTTGTGAATGTAGTAGAGTATATCGAGTAGTCGAGTATATTATTAATATCAAGTAGTCGAGTTTATCGTAAGTTAGATGATTTCAATTCAGTACGGAACACACTACAAAGAAAAGGTAGGCGTTCTCTAGTTGAAAAATCTAAATTTTTTAGGAATCTATATTACCATAATATACAATATTAAATAGGATGGAATTTATAATTAACTGTAAACCTTGTTTGTTTTCAATTATAATTATTTTATAGCAATTTCTAATACAGTTACCCGTGTTTGAACTTCTAAAAGTCATCCCTTTATTTAGGGCAGGGGTCGGCAACCTGCGGCTCGCGAGCCGCATGCGGCTCTTTTGATATCAAGATGCGGCTCTCCAGCTCCTTGAACAAATACTAATAATCTTTATAAAAACATAAAATATTTGAAATAAAAAATATGTTTGTGGCTCTTTAAAACCAGGGAAATATTGAAAATTGTAACTTTTGGCTCTTCCGCTTCAAAAGGTTGCCGACCCCTGATTTAGGGGATCCAAAATTTTATATGACAATGTTATTTTACAGGTACATTTATATGTATGTCATTAAAATTAAATAGAAGTATGTTCTAATAAACTTACCGTTTTTCAGACTTTCAAACAAAGCCTACCGTTACGTATTCAATTGGTAAAATATATTGCTTTTACAAGGTTACATAGCTAATGTACAAAATTTGTTACAATTATTATGTAAAGAAATTTAGAGCTTTTAATTGTGTTTTTCAAGCATGTCTTAGTTACACTTGGTTAATTTAGCTATTCTTAAGAAAGTTATTTCCCTTGAATTAAATTTTGGTCTTTGTATTTCCAAATGGGAGATAATTCGTTGCTTAACTTTACATTAATTTCAAATTCCTGCACCTTAGGTTGACCACATACTTATAAATAGAACTTGAAGTTATTATTTTCTGTTGTAACAAATATATAGAGCAGAAGTTCTAAACAAAATAGTTTGGTAGTTTTTTTTAGCATTATCAGGTGGAAAAACAAATACATCAGTAGCCGTTGAAGATTGCAATACTCATTGTTAGTCGTAAATTAAACATCTAATTAATTGTCTTTTCATATTTTTCACCTTCTCCTAAAGGATTTATATAACTAACAAAAATGTGATAACGCTTGCAAACTGGAATTAGTACTTTTGAGACGAGTGAGGCAAGTAAAATTTGATTTTGATGTCTACTTATGTATGCAATTGATAATAAATTAATATGTCACTTTTAATTAATTGTTTTCTTATACATATGTTTCAGTAATTAATTAGTGTGAAAGGGGGCGTTTGCCTAGGGCGCTAAATAAACTGGCGCCGGCACTGTCCCAAACATTGTTATGTTAGAATCAACGAAAGCATTCGTTCAATTTGTAAAATAGTAAATAGGGATCATCCATAAATGACGTCACGCTTTTTTGACGATTTTTACCCCTCCTCCCCTCCGTCACACATCGTCGCAAAAAGCCAGACACCCCCTCCTAAAATGACGTCACACCTCAGCATGCAACCCCCTCAAAATTGATGTTGAATGTTTCTTAAAACATCGACATTTTTCCAAAATCTTGTCAGGACTCTGTCAACATAGAGTATTTTGATCAATTCCTATTACAATTTATTAAAACCGTTTTCTAAAACGCGAAATAGGCTAAAACTCGTTTTCTGACATTGCTTTTACTTTCTCGTATATACGAAGTATAGAGAAAGTCTTGTAATCGTCCGAAAAAAAAATCGAGATTTTTACAAATCTCGACGTTTTAGACCTCACTGATACGGAAAAACATAATTTTGCAATCTTGTCTGTATGTCTGTGTGTTTCTGTGTTTGTGTGTGTGTCTGTCCGTGTGTAAACACGATAACTTGAGTACCGTTTAAGCTAGGTTGATGAAATTTCATATGTAAGTATTTTATCAAATTCGTAGATCCGTATCAACTTTTGAGCGATTTCCGATAACCGAGAGTGGTACTTTTTCTACTTTGAATTTTTCAAAAGCCTATAACTTGCGTACTATTTCAGATAAATAAATGAAATTTCACATGTAAGTAAAAGATCTAATTCTCTACCTTGTATCAAACTTTGAATAATTTCCGTTGACCGGAAGTACTGATTTACGCTATTTCTCAAAAAACGCATGTACATTAATAAAGTACTAATAATATTGCGCACTATTATGCACATCTTTATGTGACATTCGCTTGGTGCGCAATTCTTTTTTCTACTAGATTCTATTCTATTTTTAAAAGCTTAAGTAAACAAAAATCATGTCTACAGTCCGAGTTGCCGTCCCACGTAGTGTTATATTAGAATATTCGAGAAAGTTTAGGGGAGATCACTCCCGGTTTATTTTATAATGCTATAATGTGACTTCACACAACCTGAACACACCCCCCCCCCCCCCCTTTCCCCTTAATCACACACCGTCACAAAATTACGGACCCCCCCTCCCTCCTAGGAGTGTGACGTCATTTATGGACGACCCCATAGAGAAAAAAAACGCACCAGCAATCCACATGTAGACGAAAAACAAGATGACGTAGGCGAAGGTCTCAGGTTTCTCACAGGTAAAGCTGTCGATGTAGTTCCTCAGGTAGAGCTTGGCCACGATGATGAGGATGAGGAAGGTCAGGTAGGAGCAGGTGTAGGACAGGAACTTCATCAGAGGTGTGTTCACAATACGTGACACCTGTGGAATTCATTGATCCATCACATAAAAATAATCGTGAGTTTAAGGTATGCGTTGTTAATTTAGTCGATTCAGGTAAGTTTATAAGTGTAGTGATTTTTTTTTGTAAATCATTAAAGCTTAAAAATAAAGTATAAAAGTAGAAATTAATTATTTAAGGAATGAATGGTTTTTCTTATTAAGTGGTCAATATTATTAGATATTATTTAAGCAGATTAAATGAGATTTGCTGTGAAAAGAAAACAATAAATCTGATCTGCCATCGTTGCTTGGCGATAAAGCCAAGTAAAACAGATTCTCGGAATAACGAGCGGAATTATACATCAAACAGTTCTCAAACATGGCAAAGACCATCAAGACAACAAATCAACAGGACCAATAAGAAAAACGACCAACAAAACAAACGACCAACAAAACAAAAGACCGAAAAAAAATATTCCAACAAGACAGACAAGGTATTTTATACCCTAGCTTCCTCCTGCCCCTTCCAACTCCCACCCCACCTACTAGCTCCACCCCTTGTCGACCCCCTGCGCTCTACCCTACCCCACCTACTCTCCACCCCCCTATCTCATCCCCTACCCTCTACCGAACCCCACCTACTAGCTCCACCCCTATCCCGTCCCCTGCGCTCTACCCTACCCCACCTACTTTCCACCCCCCTATCTCATCCCCTACCCTCTACCGAACCACCTACTAGCTCCACCCCTATCCCGTCCCCTGCGCTCTACCCTACCCCACCTACTTTCCACCCCCCTATCTCATCCCCTACCCTCTACCGAACCCCACCTACTAGCTCCCGTCCCCTATCCTCTACCCTACCTCACTCACTCGCTCCACCCCCTATCCCGTCCTCTACCCTACCCCACCTACTCTCACCCCCTATCCCATCCCCTGCCCTCTACCCTACCCCAGCCACCTGTTACTCACCTTAGCCCAGGGCGAGACCAGGTACATCATGGACAGCACAGGGCAGCAGACGATGCCTATTGGTATGGCCAGCATCAGGTAGGTGAACCTGTTCAGGTACCGCAGGAAGGGCACGCCGCTGAACCACATCTCGCCGATCTGTGCCTGGCACTGGGGGTGAGCTACAAACTGGGCAGACATAAGACACGTGCATCAAGTCTACAATTTATTTGGGGGGGGGGGGGGGGGGGGTCACAAACTGGGCAGACATAAGACACGTGTGTTAAGTCTACAATTTATTGGGGGGGGGGGGAGGGTCGGCTCACAAACTGGGCAGACATAAGACACGTGCATCAAGTCTACAATTTATTGGGGGGGGGGGGGTGGTGAGCTACAAACTGGGCAGACAGAAGACACGTGCATTAAGTCTACAATTTATTGGGGGGGGGGGGGGGGTGGTGAGCTACAAACTGGGTAGACATAAGACACGTGCATCAAGTCTACAATTTATTGGGGGGGGGGGGGGTGGTGAGCTACAAACTGGGCAGACAGAAGACACGTGCATTAAGTCTACAATTTATTGGTGGGGGGGGGGGGGTGAGCTACAAACTGGGCACACAAAAGACACGTGCATTAAGTCTACAATTTATTTGGGGGGGGGGGGTCACAAACTGGGCAGACATAAGACACGTGCATTAAGTCTACAATTTATTGGTGGGGGGGTGGTGAGCTACAAACTGGGCACACAAAAGACACGTGCATTAAGTCTACAATTTATTTGGGGGGGGGGGGGGGTCACAAACTGGGCAGACATAAGACACGTGCATTAAGTCTACAATTTATTGGTGGGGGGGGTGGTGAGCTACAAACTGGGCACACAAAAGACACGTGCGTTAAGTATACAATTATTGGGGGGGGGGGGGGTGGCCCACAAACTGGGCATAAGACACGTGCGTTAAGTATACAATTCACGACACACATTTCTTGTCCTTAACAACAGTCACTCCTCCTTTACCTTCCTCTACTCCCTTTAGAAATTGTTTCAAATTTCTTCTCATAAATGTTTTAAAAGAATGGTTGCTAAAGGGGAATGAAGTCAAGCAACTTTACCCAACTTTACATAAATAACCATGATCATCAACACCAAACCTAAATAGGAACTCACAAATCACCTTCCTCGCTTCTAAAATAACTATAATTTAAAGGAATTTTAATGTCTGACGTTGTTGGTAATTAAAACACCAAAATGCGTGCAACTTTTTTAATCACCAATTTTTTTCTCTTAGTAACATTAACAACTATCCCCCCCCCCCTTTCTTCTTTCTATGTGTGCTACGTCACTTACACCCCCACCCCTCTTCCCTTCAATACAAATTCACACCATTTTACTTTATAATTCTAGTATTAGATATTTTTCTTTATAAAAAAGGTAACTTTCACCAAGCAATAATTTTCACACCACGAAAACCACCCTTCATCAATCTAAAAAAAAAAACCCCTTGTTACATTGATCCACTTTCGATGGTTATTCGGCAAAACCCCAGCAAAACTTCGACAAACCCCGACAAAACTTCGACAAACCCCGGCAAAACTTCGACAAAACCCGCACCAAATCTAAATCCGACAAGTCGGCCTCTGATCAAATGAATGAAACATTTCTCTCTATTAATACTTTTATCTGGCCACCTAATGGAATCATTCCTGCACCTCCCCCCCAGCACACCCCTCCCCATTTTCATCTAATTAACGACTGGCTTCGACTCGAGTTGACGCTCGGTGTACCCAACCCTGGCTGGAATCTAAGCAGCTAACGAATGCTGGAAAATGTCACGCCATTGACGCCGCGGTCCCTGATAGCGATCGTGAAAAAATTTGGTTCCTGAGAGCGATCGGGATAAAAATACGGTCCCTAAAGTGGCTTTCAGAGTGAGAGCTCATACCGTATGAATGTTAATTGTCTGTGGAGAGGTTGTATATGTATGACATGTTGATGTATGGGGGTTGGTTTATGTATGTGACATACTGTATGAGGTAAGTTTATTTTTATGTGGCATGTTGATGTATGTGGTTGGTTTATTTATATATGACATGTTGATGTATGTGGGTTGGTTTATTTATATGTATGGCATGTTGATTTATGGGGGTTTGTTTATGAATGTGACATACAGTATGAGGTAGGTTTGTCTATATGTGACATACTGATGTATAGGGTTCAGCTATTGATGATATGTGTAAGTTGTGTACAGTGTTTACACATGTTTGACTTGATATATGGTGACTCTTGTTTTGTATGTATTGTTGAGAAAGTATACCATAAACTCTATTTGTGAGTTTCCAGATATTAGATTATATAATGCTTCATTATGGGTTTATTTTTATCCAGATCATTCTATATTTTAACTATATATTTTAACTATATATTTCAGTAGCGTAGCGAGGGGGGGGGGGGGGCCGGGGGGGGGGGGGACAAATGTCCCCGGACGCCGACCTTAGGGGGCGCCAAAATGGGTTGGAAAAATAAATTGAAAGGTAGAGGGGGGTGCAAATCGAAATTTTGAGGAGGGGGTGCAAATCGAAATCTCGAGGGGGGGGGGGGGTGCAAATCGAAAAGTTTGTCCCCGGGCGCCGGGAAGGGTCGCTACGCCTCTGATATATTTTAATTATTTCGTTCGGGGGTGGGCACCTCCAAGGGATGCCAGAAAGAAACACTGCACACGACCATACTTTCTACCTTAACGCAAATGGCAAAGAGTAATCTACCCCTGTCCAAATCCCACGGTTATCTTCCCCTGTTCATCTATCTACTAGCCCATCTGTTGCCTACCTTCTTCTGCTCCATCCTGACTGCCGTGTAGACCAGCGGCAATATGTTGCCGCCGTCCATGCCGTCGTCCTCCTGACTAGCCTTGCCGCCCGAGTCGTCGTAGTACTGCCGCTTCTTGGACTTGCCGCTCAGAACAGCCTTGACCTCGTCTGAACTTTGACACTGGTCGAGCAGGGCAAGGGTGAAGTTTTGCACCTGTTGGTCAAGTTCCAGGTAGATTTGCTGCAGAATGTAACGTAAAAATATACCAGTAATGTACCAGTGTTTTTATGTAATAGAAGAATATAACTTGTTCTGTGTAAGAGATCATAATATTTGGGATGACTGAAGATACTGATGTCCGATATTAGACTCTTCCAAAAATAGGTGTATTAGGTTGTTAGTGTATTTTAATCTCGACTAAATTTTATGGTGAGAAATTACGGTTAGGCTTATGATAGGACTAGAGTTTGGGTTAGGGTTAGGGATAGGGTGAGCATTGACTTTTGCAAACCATAAGTGCACTTAGTTAACTATTAGTAACCTGACGCCGCTTTTTAAAGAAGATTCTACTATCTGTCACAAAAATCCCCCCTTCCTCCCCGCCCCCACTTTTCGAACAGTTTGTGATCGAACATATCGAACCATTTTCTGGAAAGAAATAATTACAAAACCTGAACCTGAATTAACTCTAGTACGACCAATATAGTTTAAAAATAGTAACCGACCCTAACTGTTTTACTGATCGTGACGTAAAGGTAGGTAATGAAGTGTATTTTTTACTTCCATACGCACCAACTAAACTAATTACCGAAACAGGACGGTCAGGACAGTGTGATCTATCTATATACTACTATCTATATTCTATATACTACTAAAAGTCAAGTTTGTTTACATGTTTGAATATTTATTTGTTTGCCTGATCGAAAATTGTGATATGTTCGACTCTATCTGGAAAGCTGTAAAATGGTATGCAGGTAGAGAATAATTTTTTAATGCAGACAGACTGTTGATCACAAATTTATTTAAAGACGTTAATTAATTTATTGATTTATTCCTATGCAGAATAACCCATTTTTTTTTAAAATATTTGAAAAGCCACTAGACTCGGCGGGACCGTGACGTCACAGGTTTTTGTTTACTCTTTAGTACAATAAAATGGCGGCGTCTATTGAAGAAAATTGTGTTCCCATTCAAAAGTTTAACGCGTTCTAAATCTAATTTTCTGTCGGTCATAACTTTAACAATACGTCCGTTTGCTGTATTTATTACGTTCCAACACTTATATCAATTTTAAACTGTCTTTTTTCATTTAGTTTTACAATAAATTTCTCTAGATCTAAAGATCTCTAGATCTATGCGCGGAGACTCAAAAGTATAGTATAAAAATTCATTTGTGACGTCACGAGAAAATAGCTAAGTTGGTAGCGTAGCCCGCTCTCATGTGGGTGGCACAGGTTCTAGACCAATATGTCAATGATATTTTTTTTCAATTTTTTTTTTAGATGTGAATGATAAAGTTGCCTATCTGAACTTGGAAGGATACAGGGCAGGTGAAGTAGAGTTCATCTGTTTCTTTGTCCTAAGCATATGAAAGGATAGTGTGGTCAGAGACATGCTCGGCTGGAATCGTTATTTAAACGATAAAAACATGTTGTCTGAGACTTGGCGGGACACTGGGCAGGTGAAGTAGAGTTGAGTAGGTCACATGTGACGTCAGTATATGAAGGGATAGGCCGAAATCGGTGTTTTCGGTGTTTTTAAAAGATAAGAAACATATTTTTGAATGTGGGGTCTGTTTTTTGTGACGATAAGTGACACTTCAGTAGCGTAGCGAGGAGGGGGGGGGGGGCGGGAGGGGAGGCGGGGGGGGGGAGGGGAGGGGAGGCGGGGGGAGGTGGAGGGGGGCGGGGGGGGGGGGGGGACATATGTTGGGGCGCCAAAATGGTTTGGAAAAATAAATTGAAAGGTTGAGGGGGGTTCAAATCGAAAGTTTGAGTGGGGGGGGGGGGGGGGGGGGTGCACCATCAAAAGTTCGAGGGGGGTTGAAAATCGAAATCTTGGGGGGGGGGGGGGGGTTAAAATCGAAAAGTTTGTCCCCGGGCGCCGGGAAGGCTCGCTATGCCTCTGAGTGACAGACGTGATGTTTTTTGATGGATGACCCCCGAAACCCACAGTTATCCAACGGATGACGGGTATTCTAGTATACTACTAAAAGTCAAGTTTGTTTACATGTTTGAATATTTATTTGTTTGCCTGATCGAAAATTGTGATATGTTCGACTCTATCTGGAAAGCTGTAAAATGGTATGCAGGTAGAGAATAATTTTTTAATGCAGACAGACTGTTAATCACACATTTATTTAAAGACGTTAATTAATTTATTGATTTATTCCTACGCAGAATAACCCATTTTTTTTTAAAATATTTGAAAAGCCACTAGACTCGGCGGGACCGTGACGTCACAGGTTTTTGTTTACTCTTTAGTACAATAAAATGGCGGCGTCTATTGAAGAAAATTGTGTTCCCATTCAAAAGTTTAACGCGTTCTAAATCTAATTTTCTGTCGGTCATAACTTTAACAATACGTCCGTTTGCTGTATTTATTACGTCCCAACACTTATATCAATTTTAAACTGTCTTTTTTCATTTAGTTTTACAATAAATTTCTCTAGATCTAAAGATCTCTAGATCTATGCGCGGAGACTCAAAAGTATAGTATAAAAATTCATTTGTGACGTCACGAGAAAATAGCTAAGTTGGTAGCGTAGCCCGCTCTCATGTGGGTGGCACAGGTTCTAGACCAATATGTCAATGATATTTTATTTTCAATTTTTTTTTTTAGATGTGAATGATAAAGTTGCCTATCTGAACTTGGAAGGATACAGGGCAGGTGAAGTAGAGTTCATCTGTTTCTTTGTCCTAAGCATATGAAAGGATAGTGTGGTCAGAGACATGCTCGGCTGGAATCGTTTTTTAAACGATAAAAACATGTTGTCTGAGACTTGGCGGGACACTGGGCAGGTGAAGTAGAGTTGAGTAGGTCACATGTGACGTCAGTATATGAAGGGATAGTCCGAAATCGGTGTTTTCGGTGTTTTTAAAAGATAAGAAACATATTTTTGAATGTGGGCTCTGTTTTTGTGACGATAAGTGACACTGCAGTAGCGTAGCGAGGAGGGGGGGGGGGGGGGGGGCGGGGGGGAGGCGGGGGGGGGGGGGGGAGGGGAGGCGGGGGGGGGGGGGGAAGGGGAGGCGGGGGGAGGTGAAGGGGGGGGGGGGGCGGGGTGACGTATGTTGGGGCGCCAAAATGGTTTGGAAAAATAAATTGAAAGGTTGAGGGGGGTTCAAATCGAAAGTTTGAGTGGGGGGGGAGGGGGTGCACATCAAAAGTTTAAGGGGGGGGGGGGGTTGAAAATCGAAATCTTGGGGGGGGGGGTTAAAATCGAAAAGTTTGTCCCCGGGCGCCGGGAAGGCTCGCTATGCCTCTGAGTGACAGACGTGATGTTTTTTGATGGATGACCCCCGAAACCCACAGTTATCCAAGGGATGACGGGTATTCTAGTATACTACTAAAAGTCAAGTTTGTTTACATGTTTGAATATTTATTTGTTTGCCTGATCGAAAATTGTGATATGTTCGACTCTATCTGGAAAGCTGTAAAATAGTATGCAGGTAGAGAATAATTTTTTAATGCAGACAGACTGTTGATCACAAATTTATTTAAAGACGTTAATTAATTAATTGATTTATTCATATGCAGAGTAACCCATTTTTTTTTTAAAATGTTAAAACTTTGCCTAAACTTTGTGGGAATAGTGACGTCACAGGTTTTTGTTTACTCTTTAGTACAATAAAATGGCGGCGTCTATCGAAGAAAATTGTGTTCCCATTCCAAAGTTTAACGCGTTCTAAATCTAATTTTCTGTCGGTCATAACTTTAACAATACGTCCGTTTGCTGTATTTATTACGTTCCAACACTTATATCAATTTTAAACTGTCTTTTTTCATTTAGTTTTACAATAAATTTCTCTAGATCTAAAGTTATGAATCTAGCTAGAATCTAGCCTAGGGCCTAGATTCAAGAATCTAGATCTAGATATCTAGGTCACTAGACTCAATGTAAATTCTAGATCTAGACTTAATGTAAATTCTACATCTAGAATATATTTCGGGCCTAATTATTTTATATAAATCTTTGTTTAGCTTCAATGATCATCTAATTCGAGAATACATGGGATTTTTTTGTTATCTAGGTTCTATATCTAGATATAGTAGGATTACTCACTAACTTGGAGGCGTGGTCGGCTGCTAACAACAATATGGCGTACGGACCGGACGCATGACTTCCGACCATTTTTAGGCCATGTTTACCACGAGCAAAATGGCGGGTGTTCACATTATTTAAACATGGTATAGGTGGCCAGGGCTAGATATGCCAGAAAAGCATTTTAAAATTTGCTTTGGAGAATGAAGGCTAAATTTGAAAGTCAGTGTCATAAACATTAATAGAACTTTTTTTTTTTTTTACGTTTTCAATTATTTTTTCTTAAGCCCTATATGTGAATGATAAGGTTGACTATCAGGACCTCGCGGGGCACAGGGCAGGTGAAGTAGGGTTCATCTGTTTCTTTGTCCTAAGCAAATGAAGGGATAGTGTGGTCAGAGACATGCTCGGCTGGAATCGTTTTTGTTGTCTGAGACTTGGCGGGACACTGGGCAGGTGAAGTAGAGTTGAGTAGGTCACCTGTGACGTCAGTATATGAAGGGATAGTCCGAAATCGTTGTTTTCGGTGTTTTTAAAAGATAAAAAACATATTTTTGAATGTGGGGTCTGTTTTTTGTGACGATAAGTGACACTGCAGTAGCGAGGAGGGGGGGGGGGGGGGGCGGGAGGGGAGGCGGGGGGGGGGGGGGGGGGAAGGGGAGGCGGGGGGAGGTGGAGGGGGGGGCGGGGGGGACATATGTTGGGGCGCCAAAATGGTTTGGAAAAATAAATTGAAAGGTTGAGGGGGGTTCAAATGGAAAGTTTGAGTGGGGGGGGGGGGGTTGCACATCAAAAGTTTGAGGGGGGGGGGGTTGAAAATCGAAATCTTAGGGGGGGGGGGTTCAAATCGAAAAGTTTGTCCCCGGGCGCCGGGAAGGGTCGCTATGCCTCTGAGTGACAGACGTGATGTTTTTTGATGGATGACCCCCGAAACCCACAGTTATCCAACGGATGACGGGTATTCTAGTTAACATTAAATGTGTACCGTTTTCGAGACCCTAAATATCATTTGGTAATTTTACTACTTAGTTTAAATATTTCATTTTTTTTAACTATTAAAAAAAAACAAAAAAAAAAAGAAATATTCGTATTTTTATAAAAGTCGAAACTTAAAATGAATAACTACTAAACAAAAAGATGAGTGCTTTAAAATAACGGTTATTAACAATACTAAGCTGACTGGGCTGACTATGTTTTGAACTGGCTGAAGAATAGGAAATGGGAAATGTGTTTGTTAGTTTTTGATGGGATGTGAGTTCTCTCTCATAAACAGACAAACGCCTCTAGAAAAAAATGTTTTGTAGATTGAGATCGAAAGCGGAATATTAACAATCAAGTTTAGAATAATCTCCAATTTCCATGTCGGCTCATGCGAAAGGATGTTTTGAAACTTTTCGATTTTTATTTTATTTTGTCGAAAATCTGGAGTACAAGCGTACGGTAAAGAGAATAATTTTTTTTTTGCCAGCCTTAATGCTTCGCTGAGTGGCGGAAAGGTAGGAATGTTAGATGAAAAAACTCGTATTTGTGAATTGTAGTGTGATGTGTATTTTAAATGTTTGTGTGGGTGGGTAAAGGGTGGGGTGGGTATAGGGTGGGGTAGGTATATGGTGGGGTGGGTATAGTGTGGGGTGGGTATAGTGTGGGGTGGGTATATGGTGGGGTGGGTAAAGTGTGGGGTGGGTAAAGTGTGGGGTGGGTATATGGTGGGGTGGGTAAAGTGTGGGGTGGGTAAAGTGTGGGGTGGGTATATGGTGGGGTGGGTATAGTGTGGGGTGGGTATATGGTGGGGTGGGTAAAGTGTGGGGTGGGTAAAGTGTGGGGTGGGTATAGTGTGGGGTGGGTATAGTGTGGGGTGGGTAAAGTGTGGGGTGGGTATATGGTGGGGTGGGTAAAGTGTGGGGTGGGTATATGGTGGGGTGGGTATAGTGTGGGGTGGGTATATGGTGGGGTGGGTAAAGTGTGGGGTGGGTAAAGTGTGGGGTGGGTATAGTGTGGGGTGGGTATAGTGTGGGGTGGGTAAAGTGTGGGGTGGGTATATGGTGGGGTGGGTAAAGTGTGGGGTGGGTATATGGTGGGGTGGGTATAGTGTGGGGTGGGTATATGGTGGGGTGGGTAAAGTGTGGGGTGGGTATAGTGTGGGGTGGGTATATGGTGGGGTGGGTAAAGTGTGGGGTGGGTATATGGTGGGGTGGGTATAGTGTGGGGTGGGTATAGTGTGGGGTGGGTAAAGTGTGGGGTGGGTATAGGGTGGGGTGGGTAAAGTGTGGGGTGGGTATATGGTGGGGTGGGTATAGTGTGGGGTGGGTATAGTGTGGGGTGGGTATATGGTGGGGTGGGTAAAGTGTGGGGTGGGTATAGTGTGGGGTGGGTATAGTGTGGGATGGGTATAGTGTGGGGTGGGTATATGGTGGGGTGGGTAAAGTGTGGGGTGGGTATAGGGTGGGGTTGGTATAGGGTGTGGTGGGTATAATGTGGGATGGGTATAGTGTGGGGTGGGTATATGGTGGGGTGGGTAAAGTGTGGGGTGGGTATAGTGTGGGGTGGGTATATGGTGGGGTGGGTAAAGTGTGGGGTGGGTATAGGGTGGGGTTGGTATAGGGTGTGGTGGGTATAATGTGGGATGGGTATAGTGTGGGGTGGGTATATGGTGGGGTGGGTAAAGTGTGGGGTAGGTATATGGTGGGGTGGGTATAGTGTGGGGTGGGTATAGTGTGGGGTGGGTATATGGTGGGGTGGGTAAAGTGTGGGGTGGGTATAGGGTGGGGTTGGTATAGGGTGTGGTGGGTATAATGTGGGATGGGTATAGTGTGGGGTGGGTATATGGTGGGGTGGGTAAAGTGTGGGGTGGGTATAGGGTGGGGTTGGTATAGGGTGTGGTGGGTATAATGTGGGGTGGGTATATGGTGGGGTGGGTATAGGGTGGGGTGGGTATAGGGTGGGGTTGGTATAGGGTGGGGTTGGTATATGGTGGGGTGGGTATAGTGTGGGGTGGGTAAAGTGTGGGGTGGGTATAATGTGGGATGGGTATAGTGTGGGGTGGGTATAGTGTGGGGTGGGTAAAGTGTGGGGTGGGTATATGGTGGGGTGGGTATAGTGTGGGGTGGGTATAATGTGGGATGGGTATAGTGTGGGGTGGGAATAAGGTGGAGTGGGTATAGAGTGGGGTCATTATACGGTCAGTAAAGGGTCGCATCGGTACAGTGTTGTGTATAAGGTTTGGTGGGTAAAGTGTATGATTGGTAAAGGGTGGGGTGGATGTGTAGAGAGGGACGTTTTCAGGAATTTTATATCAATAAATTTGGCTTGATGGTGATCTCTCAGTACATTCCCTGGGATCGGCTTGCAACTGCACCGTAAGCAAATTATGTACATGTTTAAATCAAGAAATAGAAAGTTATGATGGGGTGAACAATGAAGAATTACTATGATAAAATGGGGTGTCTGGGGGAAAAACTTGGAAAAAAAAATTGTCGAGCGTGCTACCTTATATACAATGGTCAAGCAAGCTACCTTATATACAATGGTCAAGCAAGCTACCTCACATACAATGGTCAAGCTGGCTACCTTATATACAATGGTCAAACGGGCTACGTTACATACAATGGTAAATCGGGCTACCTTACATACAATGGTAAATTGGGCTACCTTACATACAATGGTCAAACGGGCTACCTTACATACAATGGTCAAGCTGGCTACCTTACATACAACGGTCAAACTGGCTACCTTACATACAACGTTCAAGCTGGCTACCTTACAATGGTCAAGCTGGCTACCTTGTATACCACCGTCAATCGGGCTATTTTACATACCACGGCCAAACTGGCTACCTTATATACAACGTTCAAGCTGGCTACCTTATACACAATGCTCAAGCGGGCTACCATACATACAATGGTCAAGTGTGCTACCTTACATACAATGGCCAAGCTGGCTACCATCCATACAACGGCTACCTTATACTCGCCCTCAATCTCCGAGAGCCGGCGGAACTTGCTGCTGAGGTAGAAGGCGGCCAGGATGGGATCTTCAGCCGTCAGGGAGATGTAGGCGGGGCTAGCAAGGGCGGTAAACGTGTCGAGTCGTCTGGTGGTGTAGACCTAGGATACATCACGTGACCAAGTTACGGATGAAACGGGGGGGGGGGGGGAATGGTTAGTTAATACAACAAAGAGATGAACACAACTGATGAATGTGTACAATGTGCTTTAGATACAAGAAATAAACAAAATTATTCAAATTATTTGGTAAATTGCTAAAAAAGTGTTTTTTTTGTTGTTGCAAAACACGGGGCAAGAACATAAATTAAATATGCAAAATGGTTTGAAAAACAAAAGTTAAACAGATAAATGTGGTATTAATGAAAGATAAACACAACATAATTTAAAATTTCAATAAATCAATTATTTTTTTTTTGATAATCGTGGTATTGAAAACTGTGTTATACAAGCGCTGTAGTTTAAAGCATAGCAGCAGATTAGGCTAATCCGTAACACACGGTGATCGCAGCATGTAGCAATATTTGGACAGATTAGGCTAATCTTTAAACATTATACTAAGCGTAACATAAAGCATCAGATTATGTTCATTTTTAAACAATATACTAAGCGCTAAATAAAACATTATGTGGTCAGATTAGTCAAACACTTAAATCAGCATATCGACCGTAACACAATGCTTTAAAAGGTTAGATAATTCTAATCCATAAACAACATATTAAACGTAACAGTAAGCATTACGTGGAAAATTAGGCTAATCCTTTAGCAACATATTGAGCGCAACATAAAGCATTATGTGGACAGATTAAGCTAATCCTTAAACAACATATTGAGCGCAACATGTTGCAATATTGCCACAGCGCTAAATTACTCTTCATGCCAGAAAAGACAACACAGCCAAGGGAGATAAATCGCTGAATCCAAGCAAAGAAATTTAATTAACAACAGCGTAATAACCTTGAAATCTTCTCTCCTTCCTTCCGTACACTCTGGGCATGCGCAGAAGTAATCATGCGGCTCCTCCAGGAAAACCCCGCACATCATGATTTTTTTGACGATTTGGAAGTTATTTCTTTTAGCTGCCCTTAGTAAAACCTGGACATGAAAAAATAAACAAGGAAAATTATAATTCACATTCTTTTTAGAAAAAAATCTGGCAACTTTTAAAGCCAAATTTAATCTTGTTACTGTGGCATGTCTTCGTTAATTTTGAAATTAGCCTTTAAAAAATTAATTGAGGGAGGCAAGAAACAAGAGGAGGTAATGCAGGCCTTGAGGTGGTTTTAGGTTTTAATGATCGTGTCAAAGTGTCGGTAAAAGCCCAAACAACAATTTTGATCAAGTTTACTTAAGGTGTGAAGGTTGCTCTGATTTTTTGGTGAGGTTACCAAGAAACAACCAGTGAATGTCACATGTCATTGGTTTTAAACTAGCATAAGTCTATTAAATGTCACATGTCATTGGGTTTTAGTCTAGAATGAGTCTATTTAATTTCAGATGTCATTGGTGCTAAACTAGCACGAGTCTATCAAATGTCAGATGTCATTAGTTCTAGGCCTTTATAACAATATCTATATATATAATTCTCTTCTGGGAGCCGTTAGAAAACAAGCTGCAAGCGCCTCCTTGCAGTCCCCTCTCTTTCTCTCTATCACTATCACTACCACCCCCTCCCCACCCCCACATTGTCTGGTGAGCTGTGGTCACGCTAAATGTTTACAAAGCTAAATGTTCACAAATCGTAGAGCCGGGTTTCTATTAGGGGCCGATAATTTAGTTCGATTTTAAACGTACAGGAGGTAACTAAGAAATAACTAAGAGGAGGCTGCTTTCACGGGGGGGGGGGGGGGGGGGTGTAGGGTCGGGGTTAGGGGAAAGGGGGGGGGGGTTAGTGTTTTAAAGCAAATATTTTCAGTGGCAGCATTGGTACTGTCGAATTCACAAATTATGAATTACTGAAAAGTAGAAAATAAAACAATAAAACAACTAAATAGCGGCGTATGATACGCTGCGGGTCGGCTCGTATGCTATAAATGTTACATGCCACCGTTTGCGGTCAATAACCCTACTGCTAATTTTGACAAAACCGTTCGCCCAGCAACTATTGGTATTAAACCCAAATGTAAAAAATAAAATAAAAAAATTCACATACAATTTTCATGTTTTCAATGCGACATTTGGATAACTTACTCATAAACGTAGATTACAATAATCCATTCAACTAGAACATCATCAAAAAATCAAATATCTAAGCCAGAGGCGTAGCAATGGGGGGAGGGGGGGACATATGTACCCGGACGCCGACCTTAGGGGGCGCCAAAATGGATTAGAAAAAGTAATCAAAGGTTTGAGGGGAGGGGTGCAAATCAAAAGTTTGATCGGAGGGTGCAAATCGAAAGTTTGTCCCCGGGCGCCGGGAAGGGTCACTACGCCTCTAACTGTACCCTCTGCCTTGTAGAATGTTAGGTCTATCTCCGAGTCTCTCCTCAGCACTTTCTTCAATGACAACCATCTCCATCTTCTGTGCCTTCTCTTACCTTCATTACGAGTCTTCTCAGTGTCATATGTTAAAACAATGTCTCCTTAATGTCACATGTCATCAGCGTATTAAATGTCAAATTTTAACCACAATGTCACATGTCATGTTCCCTACCTCCAGCAACAACTTGCTGAGGTTGGCGTACTACACACAATGTCACATGTCATCAACGTGTTAAATGTCAATGTCACATGTCATCAACGTGTTAAATGCCAAATTTTAAACCACATGTCACATGTCATCAACGTGTTAAATGTCACATGTCATGTACCCTACCTCCAGCAACAACTTGCTGAGGTTGGCGTGAGAGAACTTGGAGTCTGGATCCTCGGGAAACACCACGCCCTCCTCCCCGGAGAGTTCCGCGGCCTGCCTCTCCGTCTCCCGGCGCACACTCTCCCGATAGAGGGGATGGTCCAGGATCATCTCACAGACTCTCTCCATGTCGTTATCCGCGGCTGCCAGCAGAGCCTGGGAGGTGAAGGGAAAAAATGGGTTCATTAATATCTATTGGTGACGCGACACGTGATCTTATAGATACATAATCCACTCCAGGACAAATATCTCAGGACAAAGATGTCATGGACAAAATTAACACGGACAGTATATATATATATATATATATATATATATATATATATATATATATATATATATATATATATATATGTAATTTTATATGTAAAGATATATCTGTATATATCTGTGTATATATATGTATATATAAGTATAAATATATATATAAGTATATATATATATATATATATATATATATATATATATATATATATATATATATATATATATATAAAATTCTATATTTATAATTATATATATATATATGTATATATATATATATATATATATATATATATATATATATATATATATATATATATATATATATATATATATATATATATATATGTATGCCTATTTATTGCCCTCACGAGTTTTACGTCCTTCAAGCACATTTCTTTTTTTCAATATCTTTAATATTTTAAAATAATAAAAAAATGGGTTTTTGCTTCTGATGAAATGATCCATTACTCTAATAGCCCCATGCTAATCAGCGTGTTAAATGTTCTGGTTTCCTAAACTCCATGCACCGTTCAGAACTAGGTCCCATCTTATGCCTGTACTGGAATGTTCTCGGTGTGTATGTGTATCAGGTGTATGTGTGTACGTTTTTCAAACGATTTAACATCGCAAATTTTCATTTCGTGTGGGTTCATTAGAGGATTATTCCTTCTCTAAATCTAGTTGAGTTTTTTTTTTTAAATCTTCCCATCTCTACCTCTGCGCAACCGGAAGTTCGTGTTTTTAAATTGCTGAACTTCGAACTGTAGCAGCTGACGGCGATGGCGGTTTAAGAAAAAACAAATTCCCCCGCGACTCCGAACAAAATGACCTCACTAACGTTTTTTTTCTTCTTTTGGTAGCACTCGCACATAAACACCCAATAGCAGAAGTTCTAGAGACAACAAGACAAGCACCAGCCGTGCACATGGTTCTCCTTTTATTTTCAGAGCCGGGAATAAAATTTGGTGAAAAATATGGCGGGTTATGTGACGTCACGTTGTTGATCAGATTTCAGGGTCAAGGCTATCGGGCGTCTTCTCTCAGCTCGTATTGATTTTTCATTCCGGGTATTTCAGGAGAGGGGAAGAGGAAGGAGGGAGGGGGAGGGGGTTTAAAAAAATAGTCGGAGGAAGTAATAGGCAGAAGGGAGTTAAAAAAAAAGAGTTGCGTGAAATCGAACCGCACCTTATCCCGAATACCCCGAACTCTAAACTACGTGTGTTCATTGTGAAAAGTCGATGAGAATTGCGTTTAAAACACAGCCATTCTACAAAATATCTGAGCATTCGATTTGGTGTGTTTAAATTATCTGACATTTCACTCCTTCACGATCATAAAAAAAAAAATGAAAATCCAAAACAATTTTTTTTTAAAAACAGCACAGGAAGTTACTTTTTTTTTCAATACTAAAATTCTACCAGAATATGCTGATTTGATACTGAAATTCTACCAGAATATGCTGATTTGATACTGAAATTCTACCAGAATATGCTGATTTGATACTGAAATTCTACCAGAATATGCTGATTTGATACTGAAATTCTACCAGAATATGCTGATTTGATACTGAAATTCTACCAGAATATGCTGATTTCATTTATACGTAAACAAAAAAGTGTAGGGGATCTTTAAGGATTTCAATAAAAACATAAACTTTTTTTCCTCGTGTCTGAATTCAGCAGAACAGTTTTTAAAAATCTAATGTAGCGCTGTAATCAATGAGTTTATTTAAGGCAGCTAATACAGGAGTTTAGAGAATTTCGTTTAGGCTTGGCCTGGGCAGTATGATTTACTCAAGTCCGTAAATTACTTTCTATAATAAATGTGGTATATTTAGTTTATTTAAGGCAGCTTATACAGGAGTTTATAGAATTTCGGTTAGGCTTGGCCTGGGCAGTATGATTTACTCAAGTCCGTAAATTACTTTCTATAATAAATGTGGTATATTTAGTTTATTTAAGGCAGCTTATACAGGAGTTTATAGAATTTCGGTTAGGCTTGGCCTGGGCAGTATGATTTACTCAAGTCCGTAAATTACTTTCTATAATAAATGTGGTATATTTAGTTTATTTAAGGCAGCTTATACAGGAGTTTATAGAATTTCGGTTAGGCTTGGCCTGGGCAGTATGATTTACTCAAGTCCGTAAATTACTTTCTATAATAAATGTGGTATATTTAGTTTATTTAAGGCAGCTTATACAGGAGTTTATAGAATTTCGGTTAGGCTTGGCCTGGGCAGTATGATTTACTCAAGTCCGTAAATTACTTTCTATAATAAATGTGGTATATTTAGTTTATTTAAGGCAGCTTATACAGGAGTTTAGAGAATTTCGTTTAGGCTTCGCCTCGGCAGTATGATTAACTCCAGTCCGTAAAATACTTTCTATAACAGTTGAGGTATAGCCAGAGTATAGCTAGGCACAAGATGTTAGCGTATGGTTTAACCAGATTTGATGACAATTTTCTTTGGTAGAATACACTTCAAGCAAATCTAATTTAGCATTACACGCGGCAGTAAGCTACAAAAACATATGATTTAGGAAAGTAAGCTTTGAAAGCGATAGTATGCTAAAAATATCATGTTTTCAAAAGGTATTATAACTAAATGTATGTTTTGGACAAATCACAGAGAAAATGTTATCAGTTGTGGAGGGGAGGGTGGGGGCGTTTTGTTACTGTTGTCAGACGACACACAAACTCAAAGAAAAAGAATCTGCACATTTTTTTAGCGCATCTCAGCAGCCATATTTTCACGAGTTGCATCGAGCGGAGCCTGGGTGTCGTTAAAAAAATCATTCAAGTGAATTTCATTTTCTTTCTCTTCCCCTCCATACACAACAGGGTAAATCGGCTGTGAACGTTGATGAGACAATCAGATCAGTGTTTTATTTGATACAGTTTTGTTCTTAAAACTTCGTATAACACGATTTTATTGCAAATGGTTTTTTTTCTTTTCTTTTTTTTAACTAAAACTACAAACAATAGGATTGACACAATTTTTTTCTGACAGCTAACAGCTGGTTTACACTACACACAGTTCTGTTGCTAAAACTACGAATAAACGATTATAATGGATGAAACTATTTTATTAAAAGTACGAAAAAAGATGTATAATAGATGTAATTATTTAACTAAAACCACGAACGAAATATTTAATAAATGAAACTGTATCACTAAAACTACGAACAAAAGTTCTATAATCGATAAAATTGTATAATTAAAACTACAAACAGATGTTTTATACGAAAGATGTATAGAAGATGAAACTACGAACATGATGATTATTATAGAAACTATTGTTTTGTATCAAGTACCAACAGCTGATGTTTATAATTATAGTGGCTGAAACTGCAATAGAAAGTTGAAATTTCAATACCAAAACTACAAACAACATGAAAATATTAAAAAATGTTTCGATGTTTCAATTACGAACGACTTCATTACGTTATTAAAACTAGGAGCAAGTAAATAATGTTAAAAAACTTTTTGTTGCTAAAATTGCGAACATCCTAATATAATTACTATAACATGAGCAACAAGATAATATTAGAGAATGTTTCGTTGTTGAAACTACGAGCAACTTAATTGTGTAGATAAAATTACAAATAACTTATTTTTTGTAGATAATTTGTGTAGATAAAAGTACAAACAACTTATTTGTGTAGGTAATATTACGAAAAACATAATTATGTAGATAAAACTAGGAACAACTTATTTGTGTAAATAAAACTACGAACAACTTAATTGTTTAGATAAAATTCGAACAACTTAGTTGTGTTGATAAAACTACGAACAACAGAATTGTGTAAATAAAACTACGAAAAACATAATTGTTTAGATAAAATAACGAAAAACATAATTGTGTAGATAAAATAACGAAAATCATTATTGTGTAGATAAAATAACGAAAAACATAATTGTCTAGATAAAATAACGAAAAACATAATTGTGTAGATAAAACTACAAACAACATAATTGCGTAGATAAAACTACAAACAACAGAATTGTGTGGATAAAATTCGAACAACAAGATTTCATGCCACACGATGCAGGCATCTAAGCAAGGATAATGTTATAACAATATCGACGTGTATAGCTAAACTAGGCGTTCTAGAATCTTCTGCCAACAGCGTAGACAAAGATGTTTATCCTGGGGATAGGAGAGGGGGAGGGGGAGATGGGATAATGGGAATGTAAGAAAGATAATCTTAAACTCATTTGGTTCTATAAATAGACACTCAAGAGATCAACAAAAAAGGGGCGTTAAGACCTATGGCCTTCGTTCTGCGAAATGTTTTAACGCTAGTTAAAATATAACAGGGAAAGGAATTTTGTTAAACAGCTTTTGTTACAAAATGAAAGTTTGTTAATTGACAAGGGGGAGTAGATACATAAAAGTTCTTTTATTTTTTTCGGTACAAAATGTTTGTTTTCGTTACCTTGGTTTAAAGTTGTACCTTAACCCAATAAGTACCGTTTATTTTTATTTTTATCCTACCTTTTTAATTGGTATTTAATGTTTAATTTGCTCGTAAACAAATTTTTAAGGTTATCAGACATAGGAAATTTAAATTAAAAAGCGGACAGTTGCTTTACAATAAACGATATATTCTTCGCATTATATTTGAGTATAGTGTATGAGGAAAAGTTAAGTAAAAAGATACCACTGGATGCACCTTGGTCAACAGAAACAGGTGAACTCTACTTCACCTGCAAAATGGACCATCAGGTTCGAAAATGAAACTATTTAAATTAGATTATATATTACATTAACAAAAAAAAAACGTTAAAAATATAACCGTTTTGTGTGCAAGTAACTCTCGTTGACAAGTTACATATTCGGAAGTCAAACTGAGTTGAGGGCCTTGGCTACAAAGTGGCTTGTTGTG